GTGCCTTGTTTTGAAGCCAAAAGCCTCTACCCGAACCTCCCAAGTTCAGCCTCACAACCTGAAACCCGAAACCCAAACACCTCCTCACATCAACCTTAGAGTCCCCAGACGGCCCACACCCTGGGCAGTATATGGGAATTCCCCGATGAAAGGTATCCCTTTTCTGCCCCAACCAAAAAGGGGACCCCTATTCTCGGAAAGCTCCAGAGGGAGACCTGAACCTGTGAATGACTATGCAGCCACGGCGGGGAGGTGTGTGTAGCTCACCAAACGACAGACACGTGCAGGGCAGATGAACACAACCATGGTCTTAGGCTCAGGGCTGGCTGATAGCAGACGAGACATCATCTCCCCCCAGGCCGGACAGGAACATGCACTGCCCTCCAATCCGATTCAATCCTGAGCATCCGCAACCAGTGCAGCACCCGCCAGCATCGCAGCATCTGGCTGTCTGCACATCACAGGTATAGCAGCAGGCCTGGCAGGGAAAGAGGGGGGGGTGTCAGAAACGAGAAATGACAGGCGACCTGCCTCACAGGGGCAGTAACAATCTGGACCAGAGCAACAGACGTAGCAGAACCTGAGCTCGCAGTTACAGCTGCACCTCATAGATCTATGATGAGCTTGTGGCGGGCGATGAGTCACAATTGCTCCAAGCGACAGCAAGCAAGAATCACTATCCGTGGTGTAGCAACAGTCTCTGCAGCAGTCATGTCGCCTCAGCTGGGAAAATGTCAAAATCCCACTTGCAGCGCTGCAGCCTTCCACCCAAGTAACATCCAAAAGCAGAGTTTGGGTTTGGGGTTCTAAGTTCCTAAATCAAATCCCTCAACCCCTATCCTTCAGCTTGGAGGCCTGTTGCGCGACTGCAGTCCGGCGTCCATCCACGGACTGCGCCGCGCCGGGGCCTGGTGCTACTGAGCTGTTCCTCTTCACGCGGGTGAGGCTTCACATCACGCATCGTGCAACTACACCATCCTCCGGTTCCCAAATCTGAGGCTTTGGCTGGGCGCCGGTTCCTGCAAGGAAAGGGCGCTGTGCCCAGGCTGCGCCCATACTGTGCCCATATTTCGATGACACCTGCGGTACATTATGGCAGATCTTGGCACCCCTTGCCTTCGCCACACCAGTCGGTACAAGAGTACCAGGGTGGCCGCGACGCCAATCCAGAAGCAAACGAAGCAGCAGCCCAGGAAGATCCACCCTCTGTTCGTGTCCTTGGACTATCCGTGCGTGCTCGCGCTTGCACTACGCTGCCATACGACTGGCCCTCTTGGAGCAACCGAGAGGAAGGCCGGCTTCATGAAGCTGAGCCTGCTTTCATCAGCTGAGCTCGGGGACATATCATCACACAGCATCAAACCACCATTGCCGGCTGTGCCTGCCCCAGTCAATCAGATCCGCGAATTTTGTCGCTCTGATCATGAAGCCGGCAGCAACCGACAGGGCGAGAAACAGCACAATCCTGAGCACCCCAGCAGGTCAGGGAAGTGTTCACACAGTGCCTTCCCAAGAAAACATCTGAAGGCCAAGTCTCTGAACCAGAGCAATTGCGTAAACAAAGAAGTGAACCTGCCATGTCTTGACATCACTCGCCAAGCGATAGTGGTAATGACCTTGGTGCCCAAGTCAGTGTGCATCGCAAGCTTGTTCTTGTCTGATCACAACTCAGGCCACTGCAGACCTCACCTCAGAGCAGCACATCCGCAAGTACATCACTGCAACGATGCTGTGTGGAACCGGGAACAGTCTTAGAACCTAAGATCCCCAAACCCTAATCCCTAAACCCTAAACCCCAAACCCCAAACCCAAACTGTGTTGTCTGGACAATGCTGTCCCAGATGCAGCGCGTGATGTTGGCCGGATTGATGCCAGAGGCTCGCCAGGCGTCCAGGCCTCACCGACGCACATCCAGTGACTCCAAAACCCCTTAATTAAGGAATATACCTTAGATCATATTAGGGTTTCTAAGAATGATTGAAGGGATGTTCCTTCATTAAGGGGTTTCGGAGTCTCTGGGCACACTCAAGCAGTCCCTGGCATCCCAGCGGAGGAGCCAGCTCCAGAGTCCGGATTCGGGATTCGGGATTTTCAGGGCTTTCAGATTTCAGTGCGTTTAGGGTTTTGGGGTTTTGGGGTTTGGTGTTCAGGATTCGGGATTTGAGGGTTTTAGGGCTTCAGGGGGTTTAGGGCTTTCTGGGGGTGAGGCCTTTAGGGGCTTTAGGATTTTTAGGATTTTGGGGTCTTAGGGCTTTGGGGCTTTGGGGCTTTGGGTCGCCGATGCTCTCAGCTTCGGACACTTGCGGTGCACTGGGTCTTTGCACCGACAGGGCCTCAGGAACTCCCCCAAGTCCTAGCGAGCGCCAGGTGTCACAAACGCGCCTCCGACTTCTGAAGCAAAATTCAAAATTCACTGGCGGTTTACGCAGATAAGGGACCCCCTAACATAGACCCCCCAATAGCAGGGTTCCCGTATAATAACGAACCCAATAAGGTACCCCCTTATTTCGGAAACCCCCTTTCAGCAGTTAAGTGCTCTTTTTTCAGGAAAATCGTATCTTAAAAGCAGCCCATAGGATCCCAGTCCGGATCCGCCGCTTGCAAGCAGATGCGGCAAAACTGCATGGCACCTCTGGGAAGGAGGGTTTAGGGTTTTGGTTTAGGGTTTAGGGTTTAGGGTTTATAGGGTTTATAGGGTTTATAGGGTTTATAGGGTTTAGGGTTTAGGGTTTAGGGTTTAGGGTTTAGGGTGTGTCAGGGGAGGCCGCGCGCTCGGGTGTGAAACACCCCGGGCCGCGCGCTCGCGTTGCCCGTCAACCCACCCCGGCCACCCAAACTATACTCTATTAGGGTTTGGGGTTTATGGAATTTATTTTCTTGTGCCCTGATGCTTGCTTTCATGTTTTTAAAGTTGCGCTGTTAGGGTTTAAGCTGGGGTTGGGGGTAGCCTCGGCCATTTTCGGGCCTGCAGCGTGTCAGGGCCCGTAGAGGCCCTCATTTATTTGAAGGTCAGGGAAACCCTTTGTGCCTGCTCCTGGATTCCCCTTCTTTAAGGTCCTCAGGCCTTTTGGTGGCTCTGGGGGCCTTTTGGGGGCTTCCTGGGGGCTTTCCTGGTCCTTCCGGGGTAAAATGAAGGGGTGCCCAAAACCATCGACTTCAGTACAAAAAAATCGCAATTTTCATTGCGGGTACGGGCATCCTTCTTTTAGGGGCCTTTTGAAGCCTTTTGAAGCCTTTTGGCGGCTCTTGGGGTCTCTCGCCCTGTTCGGACCTTCGGCGTGTCAGGGGCCGTAGAGGCTTTATTCATTTGAAGGTCAGGCAACCTATTAATTTTTTTTCGCCAATGCGTATTTCAATCGCTAGGGTTTAAGCTGGGGTTCGGGGCAGCCTCGGCCCTTTTCGGGCCTTCGGCACGTTAGGGCCCGTAGAGGCCCTTATTTGCTTGAAGGCCTTCGCAGGGTTTTGCGGTGTTAGGGTTTAAGCTGGGGTTCGGGGTACTCGGCCCTTTTCGGGCCTTCGACACGCCAGGGCCCCGTAGAGGCTCTTGCTGATTTGGGGGCTTCCTGGGCTTTCCTGGTCCTTTTCGGGTGAAATGGAGGGGTGCCCAAAACCATCGAGTTCAGTACTTAAAAAAAACTTTTTACATTGCGGGCAGGGGTGCCTAAAACCATCTTCAATATTTAAAAATCGCATTTTTCATTGCGGCACGGACAAATCTTGTGGTCCCCCTTCCTTTTGAAGCCTTTTGGTGGCTCTTGGCGCCTCTTGGGGGCTTCCTGGGCTTTCCTGGCGCTTCTGGTGTACAATGGAGGGGCGCGCAAAACCATCCATTCCATAAAAAAAAATTTTTCGTTGGATGGTACGGCCCTCCTGGCCCGGGGCCCGTTGGCGCGGGGGGCCTTCCTCTAGCCCTGACCCTTGACCTGCAATTCCAAGGTTTGGTCTCAAGAAAGGCCTTGAAGGGGTGCCCTTGACCCCCTGACCCTTGACCCTGAAGGCCCTTTTGGGCTGGGGGGCCCTTGGCCCTTGACCCAGGGCCCCTGCCCCCTATGCTTACCCAGTCTCCTGTTGGCCCGGGGGGCCCTTTGGCATTGGCCCGAAGGCCCTTAGCCGAGTACTGACGTTGTCGTAAAAAAGGCCGATGTCCGTTGGCCTGTCCAGGACAGACGGTGAGGCTTAACCCTCACCTTTTCCGTTTCTCTTTTCGCTTGGGCGCTCGGGCTGTAAGGCCCTCGGCCGAGCGTTCGGGGTCTGTCGCTCGACGGAAGCGACCCCTCACTTAGTTTAGGGTTTAGGGTTCGGGGTTTAGGGTTTAGGGTTTAGGGTTTAGGGTTTAGGGTTTAGGGTTTAGGGTTTAGGGTTTAGGGTTTAGGGTTTAGGGTTTAGGGTTTAGGGTTTAGGGTTTAGGGTTTAGGGTTTAGGGTTTAGGGTTTAGGGTTTAGGGTTTAGGGTTTAGGGTTTAGGGTTTAGGGTTTAGGGTTTAGGGTTTAGGGTTTAGGGTTCCTCTCTTTCCGAGATATGGGGGTTTTCGAGCAAGGGTCCCCGAATAAAGTCCCCAAATAGTAGGATTCCCTTGTAATAAGGGACCCCAAACAGGTTGCCCCCCAATTTTTTCGGAAACCCCCTATATCGAGAGGCACTGTGTCCGGTGGCTGTCACTGAGCATGCGACCTGGCCAGGCACTGCTGGCCCGATCTGGAAGTGCCGCTACCCTGCCACCTCCTAGATTCCTTTGGATTGCTTTTGGTCTAGTTGTGCGTGCTGCGTTTCTGAAATCATATTAAGGGTTCCTGTCATAATTTAAGGGATGTTCCTTAAATGAAAGGGGATTCATGCTGGCCTAGTGCCACTCCGTTCCCAGGCCGTTGTAGTCTGGGAGCCGCTTCCTAGATGATGCTCTTGCGAATGGAAGCCTAACTTCGCGAGGACTTGAACCCCCGTCTGCAGCACGCACCACCCATCGCATGTAGGCCGACCTGCCTAACTTGCAACGGTAATCATCAAACACGGCCTGCCAGGATGCGGGATTGCCGCTTGTCCACAAGGCATTGTCCCCTGGTTATGTAGACCTGGAACATGAAGATCTGCAGTCGACAGCTCTCTTCCATCACAGAGAAGAGAAGTAGAGGTCAGCGGCAGTAAGTACGGCACGAGCTTAATGGCTTGCAGTCTGCTGGCCACTTTGGCCGCTAGCCTGTGCTCGGATTTACTCGGAAACATCTCTTCCTTCCCCCTTTCAGACCCAAGATCCGCCTAAAAAAGCTGAGCCCCCCGACTCTTCGGACGAGACATAGAAGACCTCGCCCCCCGGGCTGGAGCCGAGTGAAGTCATCGAAACGATGGCCCCGTCCTCCGGCTGAAGCCCCACATATGTGGGGTTTACGAAGATAAGGGACCCCTACTATAGACCCCCAATTTGCAGGATTCCCTTGTAATAAGGGGCCCCAAGAAGGTACCCCCCAAATTTCGGAAACCCCACATCTCGGTGTTCCGTAGAAGCGTAGTTCGATCTCCTGGAGCTGGCGCCGCAGCAGCTCGACATTGACCGAGCGGATCACCCCGGCGTACATGTAGTCCACGCCATCACCTCAATACTCAAACAAGAAACCCTAAACCCTAAACCCTAATCCCAGCATCAATCCTGAGCTCACTGAACCTTGGCATTGAAGGATTCAGGGCATTTAGTGCTGAGCCCTAAACCCTCCACCAACGCACCAGTCAGCCTGAGGCTCCCAGCGAACGCCCATGGGGGATGCCGTGAAGAAGTTCGTGCTGCTGATCTGTCAGCGGGGCATCGGGATGCTAAGGGCTTCAAAGGCATCTGGGCGGGCTTGGAGGGTTAGGGATGTTTAGGGACGTTTCATAGATCGGAGAGCTCCGGGCTGCAAGCCCTTACAGGCCAATGCAGGCTGGGGCCGGCACTACAGAGACCGCACCCCGAACCTGAGCGAAAGCTGTTTCAATGTCTGCCGAGACTCTCGGAGGCCCTGTCTGCAAGGCTCCGAGCCGAGAAGATCCCAGCAGAGGCAGACTGACCTCCTATGGCGCCCTGTCGGGACCTGCGAATCCAGCATCAGGAGGGGCAAGCATGCTGAAGGTTCTGAAGCCAGGTTCCGAGCAGATTGCGCTTCTCGAAGCCAGCTGTGACTGCACTTTCGACCTTCTATTGCAGATGCACGAAGGCAAGCCCAACTTTGGACGTCTAGCGATTGGATCTGAAGCTGGAACCCCATGGTGAGACACAGAAAGAGCTGCCAAGCCGGCATGCACTTACAAAAGGAGTGAAAGACGCAACCCCGACACGGGCCTCCACCCTTGCAAAGCCTGCTTCTTGCATGGCACATCGGATGGCCTCGCACGGTAATGGTTGGACACACAGACACAGACACGCACAGACACGCACAGACACACACTAGACACACACTAGACACACACTAGACACACACTAGACACACACACACTTTGGCTTGGCATGAACTGATGCAGTGGTCACGGTACCAAGAAGAAGGGAAGAAAGAAAAGGAGCATGGTTGCCTGCCTCGGGACTTCAGGGTACATGATGTCACAAGCAGTGTGGTATCCCACTCTACATGCAGGTACGTCCAGGTGATCAGCCTGGATATCCTCCCAACTCATAAGCAGCTTCATTGGCAGTGAGCTTATGAGCGGGTCACTGCCCCCTGCAAATGGAAATGTCAGTCACAGCGATCACCATGTTCAGGCGTTTACACACACACACGCCCCGAAGGGCGAAAAGGACGCGAAGAAGCAAGCAGGTGTCAGCAAGCCAGTCCTGAACAGCAACAAGAGAGGAGGCCTAGACAACAATACGGGAACGACACCAGGAGGCAACAAGAAACGCGAAATCAACAAAACAGGGGGTCAGACAGCATCATGGGAGGACAGTCACTGACATGTCTGTTTAAGGATTCCGGATACCTTGAGCGCGTGCCTACCTGGTCCTCCTACCTGCACATGCACAGACGATCTACCTGCACTCCTAGGGAAAGCACATGTTCAGCAAGCTGTCTCTACTGATCAACCCTTGACCGCGGCCCTTGACCGTGCAGTGACCGATGATCCCGATGAAGCCCACTGTGGGCACATGTCATCCTACTGCAGATGATCCCGATGGATGAGAACAAGCGTCTGCAACGTTGTGATTCACTCATCCGCAATCGCGGGCTCGGGCACATGCCCCTGAGATCTGGCCCCATGTCGGGAAAAACCAGAACTGGTACACACTTTGGCTTGGCATGAACTGATGCAGTGGTCACGGTACCAAGAAGAAGGGAAGAAAGAAAAGGAGCATGGTTGCCTGCCTCGGGACTTCAGGGTACATGATGTCACAAGCAGTGTGGTATCCCACTCTACATGCAGGTACGTCCAGGTGATCAGCCTGGATATCCTCCCAACTCATAAGCAGCTTCATTGGCAGTGAGCTTATGAGCGGGTCACTGCCCCCTGCAAATGGAAATGTCAGTCACAGCGATCACCATGTTCAGGCGTTTACACACACACACGCCCCGAAGGGCGAAAAGGACGCGAAGAAGCAAGCTGGTGTCGCAAGCCAGTCATGAACAGCAACAAGAGAGGAGGCAGAGACAACAAAACAGGAACGACACCAGGAGGCAACAAGAAACGCGAAATCAACAAAACAGGGGGTCAGACAGCATCATGGGAGGACAGTCATGACATGTCTGTTTAAGGATTCCGGATACCTTGAGCGCGTGCCTACCTGGTCCTCCTACCTGCACATGCACAGACGATCTACCTGCACTCCTAGGGAAAGCACATGTTCAGCAAGCTGTCTCTACTGATCAACCCTTGACCGCGGCCCTTGACCGTGCAGTGACCGATGATCCCGATGAAGCCCACTGTGGGCACATGTCATCCTACTGCAGATGATCCCGATGGATGAGAACAAGCGTCTGCAACGTTGTGATTCACTCATCCGCTATCGCGGGCTCGGGCACATGCCCCTGAGATCTGGCCCCATGTCGGGAAAAACCAGAACTGGTACACACTTTGGCTTGGCATGAACTGATGCAGTGGTCACGGTACCAAGAAGAAGGGAAGAAAGAAAAGGAGCATGGTTGCCTGCCTCGGGACTTCAGGGTACATGATGTCACAAGCAGTGTGGTATCCCACTCTACATGCAGGTACGTCCAGGTGATCAGCCTGGATATCCTCCCAACTCATAAGCAGCTTCATTGGCAGTGAGCTTATGAGCGGGTCACTGCCCCCTGCAAATGGAAATGTCAGTCACAGCGATCACCATGTTCAGGCGTTTACACACACACACACGCCCCGAAGGGCGAAAAGGACGCGAAGAAGCAAGCAGGTGTCAGCAAGCCAGTCCTGAACAGCAACAAGAGAGGAGGCCTAGACAACAAAACGGGAACGACACCAGGAGGCAACAAGAAACGCGAAATCAACAAAACAGGGGGTCAGACAGCATCATGGGAGGACAGTCACTGACATGTCTGTTTAAGGATTCCGGATACCTTGAGCGCGTGCCTACCTGGTCCTCCTACCTGCACATGCACAGACGATCTACCTGCACTCCTAGGGAAAGCACATGTTCAGCAAGCTGTCTCTACTGATCAACCCTTGACCGCGGCCCTTGACCGTGCAGTGACCGATGATCCCGATGAAGCCCACTGTGGGCACATGTCATCCTACTGCAGATGATCCCGATGGATGAGAACAAGCGTCTGCAACGTTGTGATTCACTCATCCGCTATCGCGGGCTCGGGCACATGCCCCTGAGATCTGGCCCCATGTCGGGAAAAACCAGAACTGGTACACACTTTGGCTTGGCATGAACTGATGCAGTGGTCACGGTACCAAGAAGAAGGGAAGAAAGAAAAGGAGCATGGTTGCCTGCCTCGGGACTTCAGGGTACATGATGTCACAAGCAGTGTGGTATCCCACTCTACATGCAGGTACGTCCAGGTGATCAGCCTGGATATCCTCCCAACTCATAAGCAGCTTCATTGGCAGTGAGCTTATGAGCGGGTCACTGCCCCCTGCAAATGGAAATGTCAGTCACAGCGATCACCATGTTCAGGCGTTTACACACACACACACACACACACTCATGCTTCTTCTTCTCCCTCCCACGAGTATGAGGGCTCGCGGTTAGGCTCTCCCAAACGTTTGCCTGAGTGCGCGCCTTCTCTCTTTCTGTCGTGAGGCAACACTCCACCTTATCCACCTTACTTTAGGCCTGCATGTATCCGTCGGCGCCTTTCTTCCTCCCCTTCTTCTTCTCCCAGGCTTGAGGAAAAGGGCCCCTTCCTCCACGACCACGCACCAGGTTTCTTTCTTTCCTTTTTCTTTCTTTCGCGGCTTAGGGTCCGGAGCCCCGTGCGGCTGCACAGCCCTGATTCTGGTTTTGAAAGCTGGCGCGCTCCTCGGCCTGTTGGCACACATTGCAGCTTAAGCGGAGTTGGCATGTCCTGGACGTACCCCATACTCGGCAGTACAAGCGGCATCTCGACTGTATGAGTACGAGTGAGTGGGGCTGGGTACGTGCGGTGCGGGGTACATGCGAGTGCGCGTACGCGTGGGGACACACTGGGCGGGGAGGGCAGGCAATCCCCCTCCCCTGCCCACGCGAAAGCCTTTGTGACTGCGGAGGGAAAAACATGAGCAGACTGCCCATTGGGGTGCTCTCCGGGGTGTCCCTCTGTGCAGCTTGGCCCTCGCCCCAATCTCTCCCTGTCCCATCTCTCCTTCTCCCTCTTCGGGGCTTCTTTCTCAAATAGCAAGGCGCTTGCACACACGGGCAAGAGCAACAGGTTTCTCCTTGTCGTCCATGATTACACCAGACATGCGATTTCCCACCTGCAAGCAGCGGACCGCGTTTCGCCAAGTCGTCACAAAGTGCAAGATGCTGCGCAAGCAAGCAACGGCAATCTGCATCTGGCTTAGACTTCCCTTTTCTCTCAGTCGCCGGCTTTGTAGCACTTACTTCTACTCAGGACATGATGCTGCAAGTGAAGTCAGTTCACCCTACAGCATCCTTTACAGTGACAAGCACACGGTGACTCAAGCAGCCTGGAAATACACTGCGGTATCAACTCACGCCCATGGCGCACTCAGAAGCATGGGGCGGAAGAAGCCTGCCAGAAAAGAGCTGCCACCAAGGGCACAGCGTGGCAAGCAAGGCAAGAGTGTCGAAGCGTCATCAACAGCGTAGCCATTTTTGATTGGCAGCCATGCGAATCATGGAGATGTCGCCGCTGTCAAGCCTGTGGCTTTGCGGCCCTACGCGAATTGTCGTCCTAGGAAACCACCGAGACAGGCAGGATCCGGCGGTCCAGTGGGCAGACGGTGCCACCCCTGACCAACCACGCTGCCCAGCCACAAAAGGGATGTTTCAGATAAGGGCGCATGCACTTGGCACGGGAAGCATCACTACAGTATCACTCTCACAGCCCGGGGTAGCCAAATCGGCTTGCCCACTCCTCCACCTCCTTCTTCAGGGCAGTGACCTGAGGGTCTTGGTGCCACGAATGACTTCTTCAATGTCGTAGGATAGACAATGCAACTGCAATACCTTCGCTGCCTGATCGCTAGCTTGACAGCATGGATCCCTTTCTCTGCAGCAGGTAGTGGTAAAGAGTGGTAAAGAGACTAAGCAACAGCTATATGCGGATGGCAGGCAGCCTGGCATGTTCCCTCGAGGCAGCTAGTAGTCACTGGTCTACAGGTCTACAAGTAGTACCGACGTCTTGGGATGATGAAACTGGTGAAACGTGCGAGGAGTAGAGCCAGGAACTGCCCGGCTGAGACCACAGCACCACAAGTAAGGCTACTGGCACGGCACAGCAAGCTAACGTAAGCTAGCGCAAGCTATGCTGAGGGCATGACATCGGAATTGCTCGGGATCGCAGCCTCGAAGTCCTTGAGCTTCTTGCCCTTCTCAGCTTGGATTTTCAGGGCGATCTGGCAGCAGCGATCGAGGAACTCCCCGATCTTCTTGAAGTCCTGCTCCGTGCAGCCCCGGGTGGTCATGGCCGGGGTGCCGACACGGACACCCCCGGGGGAGAGGGCGGAGGCGTCGCCGTGCACGGCGTTGCGATTCAGCGTGATGGAGGCCGCCTCGCAGATCTTCTCGACCTTGGACCCCGTCAAGCCATGCGGGCGCAGGTCCCAAAGCAGGAGGTGGTTGTCTGTGCCGTCGCTGGCCAGCTTGTGGCCCTTGCCCATAAGGGTGTCTGCCAGGGCCTTGGCATTGGCCTTGACCTGCTTGGCGTAGTCCTTGAACATGGGCGTGTCGACCTCCAGCAGCTGCGCAGCCAGGCCGCCGATCTGGTGGTTGTGGGGCCCACCTTGCAGGGCTGGGAAGACCGCCATGTCGATACGCTCCTTGATGTCGGGGATCTTCTCCGTGTACTTGAAGAAGATCATACCTGCGCGGGGCCCGCGCAAGGACTTGTGGGTGGTGGTGGTCACGACGTCGCAGTGCTCAAAGGGAGACGGGTGCTCTCCGGTGGCGACCAAGCCGGAGATGTGGGCGATGTCTGGCAGGGAAAGGTACAAAGTGGCTCTTAGCTTTAAACTTGCTGTAAATCCCATGTTGAAGCCTTTCTACAGTATGAGGAAGGTCGAAGGGGAGCAGGCGTCAGGAGCTAAGAAGCCAAACTCTGCTACGCTGCTTCTGTTGATCCCTGCTAACGCTGTGCTGGACCGTCGGCATCGTGGGTTCGCTACATGAGCAGGCCCGGCTGGCCTGCCATAAGGATCGCCCCAACTTCGTCCGCGATTTCACGGAACTTGGCGAAGTCGATAACCCGCGGATATGCGGAGGCTCCGCAAAGAATCATGGCCGGTCGGAAGACCAGGGCGGTCTTGCGGAGCTCATCGAAGTCGATAAGTCCGGTTTCTGGGTGGACCCTGTATGGCAAAGACTCGAAGTAGATGGAGGTTGCCTAAGTGAGCTGAGATCTGTCATCCTAATCCTGAATCATGCTGATTCCTGACTCCTGAACTCACAGCCCCTGTGGATGTTTCTAAGGCAAGTGGCGGAGATCTTCTTGCGGGCTGTGTAGTAGCCGTGCGTCAGATGTCCGCCGCTTGGCAAATCCAGGCCCATGACGCGGGAATGTGGGGGCAGCAACGCGGTGTAGACCGCGAAGTTTGCCGGGCTTCCCGAGTAAGGTTGGACGTTGACACCCCAAGCCTTCTCGTCAAGGCTGAAGGCCTTCAGAGCACGATCCTTGCAAAGGTTCTCCACCTTGTCGATGACCTCGTTGCCGCCATAGTAGCGATTTCCCGGCTGGCCCTCCGAGTACTTGTTCGTCAATGCGGATCCCAGGCACTCCATCACCGCCCGCGAGGTGAAGTTCTCGGAAGCGATCAGCTCGATGCATCGCGTCTGCCGGGCCTTCTCCTGCTGAACCAGATCATGCATCACAGGGTCCGCCTCCGACAGAGGCCGGTTGCCTGGGAGGGCTGGGCGACTCGCAGCCTTGGTCCCCGTGGTGATGCCCTGGGCAGACACCATGAACTTGGCATCGGCCTCGACCGCCTGGAAAGCCGCCGCCTGCGCATCGCTGATCTTCCCCAGGCCCTTCAAGATGCCAACGACCACCTTCTCCAAGTTCAGGGTGTAGAAGTGCAGGCCGGGCGCCCCTCCGTCCAAGAGGGCCTTGCACATGGCCACGCCCTCCTGGATGCCGAACTCCTGCGAACATCGGTTTGCACAGCCTTAATCTCAAAAACCTATACAACTCTGTACATTGGAACAACTCTCCACATGACGTCCCCCGCGCGCTCTCCTTGAAAGCCTCGTCGGACGTGTTGGCCTTCTCAGCACGCTCCATGAGACCCTCTGGCACGCGTGTCTTGCAGAGCTCGGTCATGCGCTTCAGCCCACCCAAGCCATTCAGGCCTCAGACATCCGTTTCAAGGTCTTAGGGCTCAGTGGGTTTATACGCTTTTTAGGGGTCAAGGGATCAAGATGGTTCAAGGCAAGAGGACCTATAGGAGGGCTTGCCTGGCCCTCTGGACTGCGCAGATCCCATGCTGAGGCAGCAGCACATGATGCCTGGAACAATCGGCACGTTGATGTCGTACTTGCGGCACTCCTTGACAAACTCCAGGAACACCTCCCAAGGCCAGAAGATCGCAAGTTTTGAGCATAAGCGATCAAAACGACTGGGTCGAACAAAACCTGCGCTCAGGAAGCGCTCAGCCTGGGCATCCAAGAACATCTGGGTGATGACGAAGCGTGCGCCAGCGTCGACCTTCTCCTTCAGGTACCTTAGAGGGAGGCATGGCCACAGCTGTCTGCTACGCCATGCCACGCCACGCTGCGTAGCGCCGCGCTCCAGGCCACGCTACGCACACGTACCATCAACATGGAAAGACATCTGGCATTGTGGGCTGTCAATGTGTAAACATTGGGATGTTCCCCCTTATACTACCAGTCCTTAATAAGGATTGTAATGGAATTGGGGGATACTACAATCCCCAGTAAGGACTGTAGAAGGGGGAGCATCGCAATGTAAACATGTCCAAGGCACACCATCTCCTTGTGGAAGTTGGCATCACGGCAGACGGTCACAACCTCCTTGCCGGAGGCGTCCTTCACCACTCGAGCCCTGCGCTTCTCAGACTCAGTGAGGGCGGCCACCCCGCCCTCAATGGTGTCGATGTTGTCCGGGTGCCCCTCCGGATAGCCTGCCACAGAGATGGAGAAGTAGTCTCCGAAGTTCTTCTTGATGAACTTGACCAGATCCAGCGCACTGCTGAAGCCGCCCTCGGTCGCTGTCCACTTCTCCTGGCCTCGAGGGGGGTCACCTCTCAGAGCCACAATATTCCTGACACCCAGCTTCTTGCAGTCCTTCCTGGGCTGCAGTTCGCAAAACAGGGATCAGATAAAAAGGCTAAACATATCACGAAGTATGGAGACGGCTGACATGGGCTACCCCAAAGCTACCCCCCCCCACCCCAAAGACCATCATCCTTATGATAGTGACGAACCCCCAAAGTTGGCTTATCAACACCCCCCCCCCTCCCAACAACCCTATTAACCCTTTCTTCAGCTCCCAAAACAGCAGCCCAAGAGTCAGGGCATTCTCGGTCATCTCGGAGCTCTGGTTCGTGCAGGTCAGGTGCATGTTGGCCACGCAGCCGAACTCGTTCTTGGCAGCGGAGGTCAGCTTCAGGGTGAGCTCCGACGTGGAGCCGCCGGCCCCCCAGGTAAAGTCCGTGAAGAGAGGGCCCAGGGCCTCGCAAGTGGGCTTAGGGGTTTCTAGGGCTGTTAGGGGGTCTGTTAGGGCCTGTTTAGGGCTCTTAGGGTTTGTAGGGTCTTTACGGTCTTTTGGGTGTTTAGAGTTTTTAGTGTTTAGGGGTACAGAAAACCCGGGCCTTCATTTTCACGATCCGCTTGCGCAGGTTCTCGACGCCTTCCGGCGTCTTCGGCGGGAAGTACTCGAAGGAAAACCAGCCTTCAAATTTGTCAATTGCCACGTGCTAGGCTGCAAAGCAATCACACATTCAAAGATGTAAGGCGCTGTCAACTTTCGTTTCAATACATGATCAGGTCGTGGCGATCAGGAAGTGCAGGGCCAATGCCGTCGGAGGCATGGTGCACGTGGCACACAGATGACAAAAAGAGTGGGGAATCATAGCACCCCAAGAACCCAAGAACCCTGACTTTGCAACGACCGGCCCCATCGGGTAGGGAGATGAGATGGCCCGGCTCTACAACGATGGGTGCCTGCGGGGATTTTCGCAACCAGCTCGTCAATCTTCTGATCATCCGCGAAGGTCTGCGCCATCTTTTGCTACTCTGTGACACTACGATGATGCCCTGTGCTCAAGTTAGGGAAAATGGCTGCTGCGAGTTGCCTGTGCAAGCAATGGCGCAGAGACAAGCAACACCAACAGAAGCAGCAATGCATCTGTCAAAAGCAGCTTGGGCAGCATTTTGCGAACGCGGGGACAAAACACAATACGTTGAGGTACGACTAAAAGGGCTGGCCATGCCACACAAGCGTCCCAGCTATCCAATCCACAGCGCATTGCAGTTCTGCATTGCTCAGCTTGTCTCATTATCCAATTTGTGAACTCCGCGTTGGTACCAACATGGGGCGACGCCTTTGTGGAACCAATTGACAGCTGAAGGCTATGAACTCACAGGCGTCAGATGGTGCCGGCTACATGGCATGGTGCCCGCTAGGTGCTGGCAAAAGACGTCCATGAGTACACTGGGAGGTCTTCACCAACAAGCGTCATTTGCACATCTGCCCGACATGCAAATTTTGGCGGCATCTGTTGAAGACTCGACCGCACACTTCGGAGGCCATGCTTGAAGATTCCAACTGCACTTGTAGCCTAAGATGCAAAGGCCGACAAGTGAAGCTTGCAACAAGACTCAAGCAGTAGCAAATCGAAAGAATCCACAACTCCAAGCCAAGATTCCGATCCCAGATTGAACCATGTAGGTCCGGCTGCACTTCTCTTCTTGTGACACGCCGCAATAGGGCACATAGCTGAGAGAAGTGCAGTCCAACTGGCCTTCCTTGCTCTGCCAGCGCCCGACCATCTCTTTTGTGACTCCAGGTGCTTTAACCTGCAGAGATCCAAAAAAAAATCATCAACTAGCTCCCTGGTGCAGAGATGTGCGCAGCTCTTCCCAGTCGAGAGCCCCGATTGAGCTCCCAAAAACGAACCCAGATCAAGCCGTCAACCGGCCTGCAGCTTCACTCCTTCCTCTGTCTGGGCGACGGAATCTTGTGAACCCGCAGATCGGTAGCACAAGGTGTACTCACCTCGCAGTGCGCAACGGCATGGTGCCAAGGGGCCGCGACTCAGGGGCAGAACACGGCAATGCATGGCGGAAACATGCCCGAATGACGACCCGAACCCGCAAGGGTGCCATTTAAATTTCGGGTCTAGGGTTTACCAGGGTTTACAAGGGTTTACAAGGGTTTATACGGGTTTAGGGTTTAGGGTTTTGTGCCCGACCTGCTGTCGTGATCGTGAACATGGCATGTCCGGCACCGACATCCTTCTCAGGCGTCACCGCCGCACAGTCCGAGGATGCCGAGTGCACAAAAACCTGAGATTTTCTCGCTCTCCACTTGCATGACCGTCCCAAAAGAAACACCAAATTCATGATCAATGGGTTCAGGGTTTAAGGCTTAGGATCCATGGGTTCAGGGTTTAGGGCAAGAACGGCTTCTGTTCCATCAGGGGTTGCATCTGATTCTAGGGGCTTGCTTAAATGCCGAAACATTTGACCAGCAGCAGCTTTGTCCCCTGGCTTTGCACCAGTGAAGGAAACGACTGTGGGCACGTTCACGGTGATCAAGCTTGGGGAGATGCCCTTGGCATCAATTCAAAAAAAAGTCGAGCTAGTGAGGGCAACCACCATGCACCGGCACGCAATCGGTGTGCAACTCAGGTGACCGCAGGCACTTCTAGCAAGGGCCAAGCGTCCTTGACTCTCTCCTCACTCGTTTTGGCAGGTTCTGCAGCCTTCGCACAGGGCGAAACCGGAGAGGAGCGCGGGAACTTCGGAATGTGGCACCCTAGATACTCCCTTGAACCCCTGGGTTCCCGGTGCCCTCATTCCACTTAGGCTTCAGGGTTTGGGGTTCAGGCCTCTGTGGTCCAATAGGTGATAGGGTCGAATGCTTAGGAGATCTTAAGGATGTGCCGTGCTGAACAGGCTAGAGTTGATTCTCAGGGTTGGGGTTGGGATGTCAGAGTTCGGGGAAAACCCTGAGATGCTACAACAGCACTGAAAAGATCCCTTCGCTGGGCTGTAGGGCAGTGACCCTCTAAGAACACTCCCCCCATGCTGGGCTTTTGGGCCTGTCAGGTGGAAGACAAACTAGGGCACGGAGATCCCGGCTCCGGAGGGTCTATCTTGGGGCTCCACGGCCGTATGGTCGGCAGTCAACAGTCCAGGGTTCTAAACCTTACACCCTAAACCCTAAACCCGAGAGGCTTTTGCTGGGGGTGAGGTGAGGGGTGGGGGATGGCGGGGGCCTTGCGGATGAAAACTTTGTCACCATCTTGGGCTCCTGGTGCAACAGGCTCTATGAGTCAGAGATCGAGGATGCTTTTCGGACCCTTCATGAGAGGTTTTCCCTTGGAAGCCCTTTTGGCTAAGTCAGTAGGGTCAGGAAGGTGGGTTTTCAGGGTTATACTAGGGACTCTAGGGGATACTAAGTAGACTTACTCAAAAGAGCTTCGAAGCAGGCCCCCCGTCCAGCGGTTAGGTGGAGATTCGCCGCTAACAAGAGCCATGATGCCAACTGTCTCAGTGCCTCAGATGTTTCAGGGGGCCTTCCGGGCACCCCGCGAACATGCTTGCAAAGCCGCAACCAGTGTGCTGAGAGCCCGACCATAGACTGCTTCGATTCGTGTAGATGTATGGGACGAACAATTGACTAACTGGCTACAGCGAGTAGCTGCATGCCGACCTTGAGCCACACATGGCTGTCAACCCGGAAGCCTGTGACGAGGCACGTGGGACTGCTCTCTTTATGCCTTCAGAAAGCTCTTGATGCTTTGCACTGCAGACTCCGTCTCGCTGTCAATGGCCGTCTCTGGCTGTCCCTGCCCCGCCTGCATCCGCATGAACTGCATGCACCATGCAGTGCGCACCCCCGGCTCGAACAACATGGCGGCTGCTTGTTCTTGAGCCGATACAGCCGGATGTGTACGACGGCATACATCACCCAGCAGAATCGACATCAATCGGAGTGCCCAACATTGACTGCTTGCCTTTGTCCCAGAACCATCGCTGGACGGGAAGGCCTTGCACAGCACATAAGGAAGGCCGGATAAATGGTGATGTTGAGTGATGCTGGCCATGGGCTGCAGTGAAAGATTGCTATCATAACAATCGGCCTCATCGGGTCGCAACCGTTGCCAAAGCCTGCACCTTGCAAGGTTTTGGCATTCAGAACAGGCAGCTGCGGGCTCGCGCATGAGGACAGTGCTCGATGGAGGTGACGAGCACCATCTGCAGCCCGAGCAAAGAGCAAAAGGCGACATCCTGCGGGCAAGACCACCATGATCATCCCTAGCAATTGCTGTCATCTGTTCAATTGAGTATAACCACGAGCACTCCTCCATGAGGCCACGGAATGTCTCCTGCATGTCATCCTCCAGCATGAACGAGGGCAGGTGCACCACCACGGTACCACCCCTGAGGCGAGAAGAGGCGACTGACCCTTTAGCCAGGCCTTGCTTCGACTACTGAATGCTTAGTCGCATCGACATCCGGTCAGCTAGGGGAAATAGCATTTACGGGTAGCACTCCACTTGCAGATGTATACCTGTTGTGAGTGGCCTGAAGGCTGCTATGTAAGGTGCCGCATTCCTCACGATGCTGCAATCCAAACGCAGACAACCTGTAGGCACATGCTGCGTTGCACCCGGATTACAGTCCTGAAGAGAGAAATCCAGTCGCCTTCTTCCTGGCATCTGTCGGCGTGACCAAAATGCAATGCACTGCTGCAAACTCTTGCCGCAAAAACCTCGGCCGGAATCACCTCTCTGTACTCAAGTCCCTGCTCTGGAGGCACCAATCGAAGCGACTGCAGCGGAAATGGGAGGTCTGCCTGCCGATACGACGAGCGCATAAACATGCGCCTCGTCCTCTGCACTCCGCTATGTACCGGGTGAGATTGAGAGCTGCTCAATGGCAATGTGTAGCTACAACCAAGTGCCATCTAGCTGAACCTCACACCACAAAATCACCGGACGTCTGTAGAACGGCTGGCAGCATGGAGCTGCGGCTGCTTGGCTAGCTGCCGAAGGCGCCTTCGGAAACGCGAACCGTCCTGGCAAGCTCACGGAGGCTGCCGACTTTCCACCCCCGCTAGGGCGACTGACAATCACCACTGGCCAGGATCATAAAACATGGCTTTCAACGAAGCTCCGTCCTGTTTCGTTGAAGCTGGAGCGTGCCACCTACAACTCGAGCACGCCAAGTGTCGCTATGAGAGCCTAGTTGTGCTTGAGCTCAACAGCTGTTCTGTGGCAACGGTTCTTTTTCAACTGCACTAGGTATGTTGCAGGAGCAGCGGGCCTGTTCGACATCTTCAGCTGGAAAACTGCTCTTTGCAGCTAACACTTCAGCTTGAAGCTGCCGGTTTTCTTCTTCCAACCTGCGCCACACGTGCGGGGGCATCGAAGGAAGACATGACGATCTGACGTTCTGCGCCTCGCCTGGCTACCTGACGCTGAAGATTGTCGACCAACCGCTGGTTGGACGCAGCGTCTGTGTCGGAAGCACGGCGCACGACCCGCGCTGTGACCGCCAGCCCAGCTCCGAGCCATGCACCTGCAGGATCGGAATTAAGACCCGCAGACAGACACGCATGGCGGCCGCACAGCACCCCACAGTACCCCGCAGCACCTGCTCCATAACTCCTTCGTGGCTTCCGGAAAGCTCGGACAGGACTTGACGATGTTGCTGGGGTGGGCAGCTGCGCAGGTGCAACCCAAACAGGCGTCCAGAGCATGGTCCGTCCATCCGGGCATTTGGCCACGTCCACCGACAGCTACAGTCAAACTGAGGGATGCTGTTCGGCTTTTCTATTCCTGACGAAGGCGAATGCTACATTCAGAATAGCTACGGGACGCTGGAACGACATGAACATGAGATCGAAAGTTCGTCTTCCATCTTGAATTTGCCCACTTCTAGCACCTGAGTTCAATGCCCGCCATGGTGAGTAAGCGTCACTGACAAGTTATGGGTCTCTGATTGAGAGCTGGAGCCAGCGGGCTCTCTGTTGCTCCTGACTCGACTCTGTGTCGGCTTCCTGAGATTTGTATGGCATAAACGACATGGGAAGGACTCTACAATGGAAATTTGATATCGCTCGTTAGTGCCCTTGCTAGATGCTAGGTGGGTCGATTTTACGCGAGGTTGACGCATATTGCGCATTCTGCCCCAAGTAGCTCCTGCATGGTGAGACTTGCCCACAGGTGAGATTCCCCCACTGCAGGCTCGGTCTACGCTCGTGGTTCTTTGCTCATCTTGACAGCTTGGTGTGACCTGAGCCTTGCGAGGACTGTGAGGGGAGGCGCCTTTGTACACTGGTGGCCTTGGGCGACCATCTGGGATCTGTACATCCAGCCATTTTGGCCTCCAACTCGTTATCACGGTCGCTCTGTCTTTGCCTGACATGTACGCTGGCTGCTCAAGTCCAATGCGCAGCATGTGGGGAACGCGCGTGGTGGTGTCACAGGTATCCTGCATTGAAAGTGAGTATCCTGTGCTTGAGCATCTCGTCTTCCCGCCCAACACGGGTGCGGAGATGAGGGGAGCAGGGCAAAATTGTGTATGCATGTATTTATATATAGTTCTTTATCTACTTATTTGTTCCCGAAAGCATCGCGAAGGGTTCTTCCGTGCGGAGCCCCCTGACACAACAACATAGACTGAAGTGCATAGAGTGAAGTGCATAGAGTGAAGTGCATAGAGTGAATTGCATAGAGTGAAGTGCATAGAGTGAAGTGCATAGAGTGAAGTGCATAGAGTGAAGTGCATAGAGCGAAGTGCATAGAGTGAAGTGCATAGAGCGAAGTGCATAGAGTGAAGCGCATAGAGCAAAGTGCATAGAGTGAAGTGCATAGAGGCAAGTGCACAGAGTGAAGTGCACAGAGTGAAGCGCATAGAGTGAAGTGCATAGAGTGAAGTGCATAGAGTGAAGTGCATAGAGTGAAGTGCATAGAGTGAAGTGCATAGAGTGAAGTGCATAGAGTGAAGTGCATAGAGTGAAGTGCATAGAGTGAAGTGCATAGAGTGAAGTGCATAGAGTGAATTGCATAGAGTGAATTGCATAGAGTTTAGTAATCAGTGAATACAAATTTCTAGATTTACGTAGAATTTACTAGACCTTCGTACCCAGTCCTAGATTTCTAAATTAAAATTACTCTTTCTAAGGCGGCGGGCTGGGTTGACATCGCCAATCGGGATTGCAACCCTCTGCGGGTTTCGGCGTGGTCGCGGTGCTAAAACCGTCGTTTTTTTACGTTTCTTGATTTGCGCGGACAACCCTCTGCGGGTTTCGGCGTGGTCGCGGTGCCAAAACCGTCGTTTTTTTACGTTTCTTTGTGGCCGCGGACAACCCTCTGCGGGTTTCGGCGTGGTCGCGGTGCCAAAACCGTCGTTTTTTTACGTTTCTTTGTGTCCGCGGACAACCCTCTGCGGGTGATCGCCGGGTCGCGGTGCTAAAACCGTCGTTTTTGGAACTTTTTTCCGTGGCCGCAGACAACCCTCTGCGGGTTTCGGCGTTGGCGCGGTGCCAAAACCATCGTGTTTTGGCCTTTTTTGACAAACAAACGTAACCCCTCTGCGGGTTTCGGCGTTGGCGCGGTGCCAAAACCCTCGTGTTTTTGCGTTTCTTGACATGCAAACGTAACCCCTCTGCGGGTTTTCGCGTGGTCGCGGTGCTAAAACCGTAGTGTTTTTGCGTTTTTTGCGTTTGTTTTTCGACTTGTGTAGTACAGACGTAGTACGCCGGGGACTTCCGTGGCTGGAACATCGAGTTTTTGTAGTACAGATGTAGTACGCAGGGGACGCCCGGAGCTTCCGTGGCTGGAAAGTCGACTTTTGTAGTACAAACGTAGTACGCCGCGGACACGCGGAGCTTCCGTAGCTGGAAAGTCGACTTTTGTAGTACAGACGTATAGTACGCCGTGGCTGGAAAGTCGATTTTTGTAGTACCAACGTAGTATGCCGCGCACACGCGGAGCTTCCGTAGCTGGAAAGTCGACTTTTGTAGTACAGACGTATAGTACGCCGGGGACGCCCGGAGCTTCCGTGGCTGGAAAGTCGACTTTTTGTAGTACTCACGTAGTACGCCGCGCACACGCGGAGCTTCCGTGGCTGGAAAGTCGACTTTTTGTAGTACAGACGTATAGTACGCCGCGGATGCCCTGGGCATCTGAAAACACCGCAAATAGCATGGTAACGGACATCTGGCCGCTTGAAAATAGCATGGTAACGGACATCTGGCCGCTTGAAAACACCGCAAATAGCATGGTAACGGACATCTGGGCACTTGAAAACACCGCAAATAGCACGGTAATGGACATCTGGGCGCATGAAAACGCCGCAAATCGCATGGCAACGGACATCTGTGCGCTTGAAAACACTGCAAATAGCATGGCAACGGACATCTGTGCGCTTGAAAACACTGCAAATAGCATGGTAACGGACATCTGGGCGCTTGAAAACACCGCAAATAGCATGGTAACGGACATTTGGGCGCATGAAAACGCCGCAAATAGCATGGTAACGGACATCTGGGCGCTTGAAAACACTGCAAATAGCATGGTAACGGACATCTGGGCGCTTGAAAACACCGCAAATAGCATGGAAGCGGAATTCCGGACATACTTGAAAACCTCGCAAATAGCTTTCCCGCCGCGGACACCCGGAGCTTGCGTGTCGAAACCATCGCAAATAAACCATCGCAAATATCGCGGGACTCGAATTCCTCGAAACCCTTGCAAATGTCGTGGGACTCGAATTCCGGGGCCTCGAAAACCTCGCAAACATCGTGGGACTCGAATTCCTCGAAAACCTCGCAAATATCATGGGACTCGACTTCCGGGGCCTCGAAAACCTCGTAAATATCGTGGTTCCAAAACCATCGCAAATACCCTGGTCCCCGAATTCGCTGGTTCAAACCATCGCAAATACCATGGTCCCCGAATTCGCTGGTTCCAAAAACCATCGCGAAAACCATGGTCCCCGAATTCTCTGCTTCCAAAACCATCGCAAATCCATGGTCCCCGAATTCGCTGGTTCCAAAACCATCGCAAATACCATGGTCCCCGAATTCGCTGTTTCCAAAAGCATCGCAAATACCATGGTCCCCGAAATCGCTGTTTCCAAAACCATCGCAAAAACCATGATCGCGAAAACCAAGGTCCCCGAATTCGCTGGTTCCAAAAGCATCGCAAGTATACCACGGTCCCCGAATTCGCTGGTTCCAAAACCATCGCAAATCAGACAAGTGCAGTGTACAAGTGACTATGCAACCATGTAAGTGCATACATTTGTCCAAGTGCATACACTTCGGCTGCAAAGAGTCAACTGCATGGAGTCAACGCACGGCAAATCGATGCTTTCGGGCCATCCCTCTTCTAGTTTACTTTTTTAATTTACGCATTTATTAACATTCATTTGTGAAAAATTATCATACTGCATAAAAAGATAGATTGACATACTATGAGGGACCCTCCATAAACTATTCTTCTGGGAGCTGCCACCGAGGCAGCCGACTCAAAAGGCTTAGGGCGTCAGCGGCCTTCAGCTTGGCTGGATGGACCCAAGAGTGTGGACTGAAGAGGGTTTAGGGTTTAGGGTTCAGGGGTTTAGGGGTTTAGGGTTTAGGGTTCAGGCTTTAGGGTTTAGGGTTTAGGGGTTGGGCCAAAGGAAGCTTGGTAACTCCATTGCAAACATCCAGAAGTCGAGCAGCTGCCTCAGCTTGGGACTTCCATCCATGCGTGGAAGGCAGCCCACAAGTTCTCGAGCTGAGGATAGGATTCGCCGAGCACCCTGCAAGATGAAGCAATAAACATAAATATAAATATAAATATAAATAAATATATATATATATATATTCATTTATTTGTATTTGTATTTATATACATACATAATATATATATATATATATATATATATATTTATTTATTTATTTATTTATATTTATATTTATATTTATATTTATATTTATATTTATTTATCTATTTATTTATATTTATATTTATCTACATACATGATATATATATATATATATTATTATATTATATACATGAATACAAATATATACAGCTGTCGCGAAGAGGTGTCTCTTGATGTGACTCACGCCCGCCCGCCTCACGATCTCCTCGACTTTCCCACGGAGCCTGAGCTGCTCAAGATGCCAACACAGCTAGCTGCACTCAGCAAGGCCCGGCCACTTTCCTCCTCGTTCTCCCCTGCCTACCTATGCTTCCACACGAAAAGGCGAGGCGCTGCACTTGCTCATCGTGTTGCTGCTGGATGTTACCCGGCGGAGGCGGGCCAGTTCCCATCGCTAGCTCGTCCAGGCCTCAGAGTCAGAGGTCTCTGCCCAATCTGGCTAACTTTGCAGCAGCCGGACAGCAACAGAACAGCCATCTGTCCAATTACTTCGAGCTCTTTTGCATCCCGAAACCCTAAACCCCTTAAACCCTAAACCCGAAACCCCTTGAACCCCTTAAACCCGAAAACCCCAAACCTCTTTGAGAACTCGGGGGCCGGGCGTTTTGCAGTCCTCTGTAGCTGGAGGATGCTGGCCAGGTTCTGCTGCTTCTCTACATGTCCGACCTGAGACAGGGTCCATGCCGAGAGATGAGGGCGTTTCAGGGTCAGGGTTTGGGTTAAAAGGGTTGTTTTAGGGGATGTGGGGGGCTACCAAAGCAAGCTAGGAATCCAAGCGTCTTTAGCCGGTAGAGGCAGCAACGAAACCGTGCCGGATCCCCTAAACAGCCCAAACCTGCCTGGACTTCGGCACGTAGGGCTTCGCTTGCCTGTTCCAAGTTGCCGTACTCCTGACGCGAGCGTTGTAGAATCCAGTTCTTTGGGGGTTTAAGCTTGAGATTTAGGGCCTGGACCCTAAACCCTTCAGGAGGCTCAAGGCTTCGGGGGATCTGCGGCTTCGACTTTCATTTTTGTGACTGGGGGAGGAAGTTATATAAACCACGAACCCTAAATCCTAGAATCCAAAGTCCCAGTGCTGACCCGCATCCCACCCATTGCAAGGGAGCCCTCCCTGAAGCCGCCCCACTCCCCGTCTCAACCCGCGCCCCCCTAGACCCCCAAAGCTTTGAGTCCCTAGAACGAGACGAAACAGGGTTTATACTACATTTCTTGATGAGTGTATTTAGCGTCCCTTTTAAATATTGGTGAGTGTATATGTTGGGGTGTCCTTGTGAGGAATAGAGACCCCACTTGAGATGTCCTGGGCCGCCTGCTCGATCGTCTGCTGAAGCTCGGCCAAGTCCCGCTGCCTCGAGCGGCCGAGATTGGGATTCAGAATGCTTCCCGAAGTTCGGGCTCTTTATATTGAGGGTTTAGTGGCTGAGGGATTTAGGGTTTAGGGATATGAAATCTGCTGGCGAGCGCATGACGTGTCGAGGGCTGGAGGGTGTGGGATGGTGGTAAGACAGGTCTTTCAGTGCCACGAACAGGGGTTCCGGCAAATAGAACTAATGTGCATCGCTGCGACCACAAAGAGTTGCCCGGCCCTCGAAGCACTTTGCAACTACTTTGCAAGGGTTCCCCCCAACCTGTCCGAGATCTTCTGCTCCGCGTCCGAGTTCGCCTGCGTGCCTCAGCTCCGTGATTTGAGTGTAAAAGCGGGTGGTCACACCCACAAGCAGTGATAACCCCCAGGCAACGCCAACCCGCGTAATCCCGAAGCCAACGACACGAATATATGGCAATATTCCTGCGGCATCTGCCCACCAGGCGGCTCGAAACAACACACGGTCAAATCGCATGTAAAACAAAGAGCTTGTTTGGGAAGCCCTTCGAGAATGATCGAGAACGCACACAGCAATGACACCTGTGCACTGGTTCTCCATAGCATGGCGAGATGGTGCAGGCTTAATCACAGCAAGCCACACAGCTTCAAGTTGTTCCGCAGGGATTGCAGCTGCCGCTTGACATTGGCAGCAGAAGCCGCTTTCTTGGTCTTCTGCGCCTGCGAAATTGCTTTGCAAGCAAGGTATCATCCTAGTGCACTGACCTCTTGGGACTTCACCCCGGGAAGCTGCAAATTGAAAGTTCACCCCTCTTGCACTACAGCTCTCATGGCAGTTTCCAAAATTCGGGTGCCTTTTTGGGTTCCTTATTGTAAGGGAACCCCATTATTTGGGGGTTCAAAATTCTGGGTCCCCTATTTTCGTAAACCCCCTCATGCTCCGGAGCATTCGCAAAGACTCCTTCGGCTCGAGCTTGAGGGCAATGGCGTCACGCTTGTGGATGGCTCGCTCCATCTCGACAATTGTCTGCTCCTGTCTCAGCTGCACCCGGAACTGAGGACACCACTCTCCTGAAATCCAAGAACCGATACGTGGAGGATCATGGAGGTATCTGAAGATTAGGATCCGTTTAGGGTGGCGGCGCAGGGGAGGGCGGAGGGGGGCGGCGGGGTGGAGGGACTTCCCCTTCATAAAGAACCCCACCACGACAGGATAGCTGTCACACACTTTAAACGGAACCACCCTTCAAACCAAGTCCCCGAGGTCTCCTGCCGCCGCTTCAGCTGCTCAAGGCGCAGCTCCATGCGGTGGATCTCCTGTCCAGGTCATCTGGATCTTTGGATCTGAAACCCGAATTGGTAACAGAGGTGGTGTATCTGAAGCCCGAATTGGTACAGTAAGAGAGGTGGTGTATCTGTTGAGAGCTATTCAGGTGCTTTTGGGGCTGGTGAAGGGCTTGATTGACAGGATGGAAACTGGCGACTGCATACCCCGAAACCCTACACCCTAAACCCTAACCCTAAACCCTAAACCCTAAAGGCCCTAAACCTGTAAAGAACAATGAGGGAAGGTCGCAGGGGCGGCTCCTTCTTCATGGCCGCGGCATCCGACTGGCCAACGTTGGGATCCAGCGCCGCCTGCCTCAGCCATCCGAACGGTTTAGGGCTTAGGGTTTAGGCTTAGGGTTTAGGGTTTACGGCTTAGGGTTTAGGGGTTAGGGTTTGGGGTTTAGGGTTTTTAGGGTTTAGGGTTTAGGATTTAGGGTTTAGGGAAGGCTTTTCTGGGTTCAACTGTTGGTCCCATTAGCTTTGTAGAAGTCTGAGCAACCGAGGCCGGATGCGGAAGGTATCCCGACATTCTCAAAGCCAAACCAGGGTGCCAGAATGGAGGGTTTAGGGTTTAGGGTTTAGGGTTTGGGGTTTTGGGGTTTTGGGGTTTCGGGGTTTAGGGGTTTTGGGGTTTAGGGGTTTAGGGCATCACAGGCACATCTCCCTTTCCAGCGTGATCTTGCGCTCCCAGAGGAGGACCTGCGAAGCATGCGCCCAAATATTCTTACTGGTTCTTGGTAGGGAATGAGGGAATGAGGTACCCTAACATCCCCCTACATAATCCCATAAAGGGTATATATGGTGGGGATACACCTCATTCCCTCATTCCCCTACTCAGAACCAGAACCAGGCAGTAACAAGGAAGGCTTGGAGGGTCTTGCGCACCTGACGCTCGGACTCCAAGATATCCTGGTTCATCTGGTCCTTCTCCAGCTTCAGCTTCTCGACATCCCGCTCCTGGGCTGCACTCAGAGTTTTTGGGGGGGTTGCCTTGAACCCTAAGCCCTACACCCCTGTGGATTCTAGAGGCTTGAGGGCAGTTTCGAGCTTCCCGGCACCACATGGACGCCAAGGGCACGTCACCAAAAAACACTCAAAAAGCTGCGAGCTCCCTGGGCCAAGCCAAGCTGCCATGTCCAGACACCTGCCCAAGCCCAAAGGGAGCCAAGCATCACCCCTAAATTGTAAGAAAACTCCTAATTTCTTTGGGAAGGGACAGCGTGAGCCTGGTTTCGATCTCCTTGAGCTTCTGCACGAACTCTGTCTCCATCATCTGGTTCGTGTTGGAAATCTCGCCGGATCTGGCTTCGTTCTTCACCAGGGCGCTGTTCATGCGATCCATGTCGAAACCTGATTCAAAAGTCGTCGGACATTCTCGCGCAGTCGCACATTGACATTGGTGCCCCTACCAGACGTCCAGAGAGAGGATGCGGCGAAGGCGCGTAAATGCTTCATGTTGTTGTCCAGCTCCTTGATCTCCTTCTCGTGGCTGGAGAGCTGGCCCTCTATTCTGAGCTTCTTCCTGGACGTGCAAAGGCACATGCACGTGGCAACAGTATCTTTCGCTTCTCTAGATTCTACGTCTTCTCTGCAAAAAACATGGTGGGGGGACTGCTCCAAGACCATCTTCTTGTTCTTGTTCTCGTTCAGCGTGGCCTGTCTCTCTTGAGAAGAGAAGTCGGAATTCGGAGATGTCATGCAAGTTCTGCACACCCATTTTGTTTTGAAGTCTTGTAGGATTGCCGAGAGCCTTCAGCTTGTCGGTCTCGCTGGAGATAGACAAGAGCTGGGTCTGCTTCTGAATCCAGTCCTCGACCGAGGTCAGCAGCAGACCAAGTACGTGGGTACTGACGTCATCGCCGGCCACAGGATGGTGCAAAGAAAGCGTCCTTCTGCATTTCTGAGCACTCTTTCGTGAGTTCGGCTATGGCTTTTCTCCTCGATTGTGCAACGACGCCTGCTCATGTCTACCAGGTCAGCTTACATTGCACAAGCTGGACTGTCACTGAGGCCACCACATATGCTTCAGCTTCGCTTCCTGCGGACCTGCTACATCTTCATCGTTTCCAAGCTCTGCCTCCAACTTGGTCCTGCAAGATGCACGAGCTGAACGAGACAGACCAGTTGCCACGTACACACTGCTTGCAGCAGGCTTCGTGCCCAGCCTCTTCTCATCATACTCTCTGTTTAAACGATCGACAAACAACTGCTTCTTTTCGATCTGATGATGTCGCTTTCGAATCTCTTGCTCCTGAGGCCAACGTTTCTCGACAATCCCATTTGCCATTCGTCTTCATCTACATCTCATTTTGCGAATCAGGTGAACAAAAGCCACTTCCACAAATCTGACGGTCCAATGGTTTGGCAAGGCTCATACTGCTCAATGAGCTTCTCTCTGTCTGCCAGCTCATCGCCTGAGCTCCAGAGAGTTCTGCTGTCAACAAGGATTCTTCCGAAAAAGGGACTAAGGAATGGCATGCCGGCATCGAGGCTCTGAGGCGCTGGCTCAGCTGCTTGTGCCGATCTTTCAGCATCTGGTTGTGGGCTTTGGTGTTGAGGCTATCCACGGTCACGCGGGCAATCTCATTGAGGAGATTTTGCGTCTCGACCTGAGACCAATCCAAGCTCTGTACGCCGTGGATTGCTGCGTCCGGATCAAATAAACCCGACCTCTTTGGCAGCAATCTCCTCTCGGATCTTCTTCATCCTTTTTCGACCTAAACAAGTGAGCAACTTGCATCCCAGCAAGAGGTATGTCTTGCCCAGAGCTCCCGACTGTTGGCAGTGACACGCTCGCTCGTTGTCTGCTCGCTCTGCTCCTACACAAAAACTCGCAAAGCAGCACAAGGTACTCAAACTGAGGAACTCGTCTCCTTGTGACAGCAAAGCCCGTGAGTTCTCGCACTGCTCAGGGGATGCGCTTCCCATGCCCCGCCGAGCCTCCTCTATCTTGCCCACGATGGCGGTTATCTCACGGGACACCGTCTGCATGTTTCGCTCGAGCACTTCCATGGATCTTGTCTGCTCAGTGATGGCAGCTTTGAACTTCTGAGTCTCTTCGAGATGCTGATCCATGCCTCAGATCGTTCGGGGCTGCTACTCGATGCCATCTGCACACTGCGCATACTGTGCTGCCAAAGCGCTCTTGTTCAGGGTGGTGTACTGGTCCATGAGCTTTTCTCGCTCTTGCTTAAGGCTTGTCATCTGAGACTGCAAGGACTGCATCTCTTTGTCATTCCGATCCTTGATGAAAGGAGCACGACACTACAGAACTTCGCGGTCGTGCGATCAACTGCGCTGAAAAGTGCGGCGGACCGACTGAGAACACCGCTCTAAGTGCACAAAGCTGCTCATGCCTTTCCTGATGCAAACGTCACGAGAGTAACGAAGAGTCGCAGATGACACGGTTTCTTTAACAGCACATGCCGGAAGCAAACATGTTCCAGTTGGCCTGCTCCGTACGGATCGAGGAATGCAGTCCACGGATCTCGTTTTCTATGGCAAGCTCAGCCTGCGCCGAACAAGCGTCCAACTTCTATCTGTGGTGCCATGAGGATCGCGGATAAATGCAGATGTCCCAAGATTGGGGTACCCCTTTTATACCCCAAGTAGAGCAGAATCCCCTTAAAAGAACCCCCAAAAAAGGGAACCCCTATTGTGAGAAAGCCCCAAATAGCTCGAAGTTCCTGCAACTTGATAAGTCTGTGGCGCATGTGCGGCGCATGGGGACCATGGCAGTGGGGGAACGGAGATTGGGAGAAAGCTTGACATGCGCCTCACTTTGCTCCTCGAGAGCCTTCTGCACATTTTGCAGCGCTTCATCTCTCCGCTGCATCCCGACCAGGGAGGACCTGAAGAAGCTAAAGCTTTCCGCACTTTACCATGCCATGTGCTTCATCAGAACCTGGCCTCCACTGCATCATAAGCTGCTTCCTTAGCACGCCAGCGGCTTTGACCATCAGGTTTGCACAGAACCGTCTTTCTGGCCCATCACTCCTCAACTCGCACGAGCGCCCTTCAGGGTCCCTTATGAGAGCTTCCTTGAGCCCGGCCGCTTCTCAAACTCGATGGCCTCCATCTCTCGGCTCGCCTCCCGGAGAGTCGCCATGGCGGCCTCCGTCTCCTGGCGACTTCGTCTTCAGAACCCTACTGTCTGGCATTCCTGTCGCACCCTTCTTACACACCGTTCAGAGGTGGCTTCCCCCCCCCCAAACCCTCCTGGCGCTGCGCCGAGATCTGGGCATCCAGCAAGGCCTGTTCTCACAAGAGTGAGGGTTGAGGGTTTAGGGTTTAGGGCTCAGGGTTAAGGTTTAGGGTTTCGGGGAGCTCACTTGCAGTCACTCGCAGTCGCCCTGACGCCATCACGAAGGGCCCGCTAAAGGCCTTCCGCTCGGTAAGCCGCTTGATGTCCTCGTTCATCGAGTCGATCAGCAGGTCCTGCTTGGACTTCATCTCCTCGATCTGCTTGATGTGGTCCTCCGTTCCAGGGCTTCTGAGATTCAAACAGATGATTAGGGTTTAGGGTTTTGTTTAGGGTTTAGGGTTCAGGGTTCAGGGTTTAGGGTTTAGGGTTTAGGGTTCAGGGTTTAGGGTAGGCTCACGGTGCGAGGGGCCTCCGCCTTGTAGGTCGCTCGGCGGGTGACCTGGATCTCGGCCTTCATCTGCTCATTGTACTCCTGAACCTGCCGAACCGTGATGTTCAGCTGGTTCAGCTCGTCCTGCAGACAACTTCCGTGGACTTGGGACGGCCCTGGCAGAAGCCCTTGCAAACATTGCGTCGTGTACGTGACTCGCACTATGTAGGTGACTCGACATATGGCTGTCCTGCGATTTGGCTAGCCTTCGCGTAGCCTCCTCCACCTCGACTTTCTTGCCTTCCCAGTCGGTGGTGATGTTCTTCAGCTTCTCATCGTCCTGGCATATCCCTGCAGCACCAGCTGAGCACCAACAAAGGGGACCAGCTACACTCCACTCTCCCGACTGCAAGCCTCGCAACCTACAGAACGACTGTGAACCGCCGGCCACCCTCCCAGCCATCTCCTCTAGGCGCTGTCCCTGGACCATGGCGTACCTACCGAGGGCGCAAGGATCCACGATAAGGCCCTATGATGCCCTATGCCTAATGCAAAAAGGGGAGGGAACTTGTCATGGAGCTGCTCTAGTTGCAGCTGCAACTTGGCAAGCTGCTGCTGAGCTCCATAGAGAGTCACGCCTGGCAGCAGGAAATGCTGAAGGCTCAGGGTTTTGCAGGGGCGGTTGAACTTCCCGACCCTATGCTATCGCATGGTTAACCGCATGCAAGAATCCGTGCATCTCCAAACCACACCAACAACTTTGAGGCGTTATCTTGCCTATGTCTTCTCGGTGCTTCACAAGCTTCTTAAGCTCCTCCGCAGCCATCCATGCAGCCCAATTGAGCCAACGCCTACTGCTTTCGGCTTCATGTGGAGCGCGCTGCTTCCCCGCTCTCCTCCTGCTTTTCTCGAAGCTGAAGCGTGACCCGGTCATTATGACCAGTCAACTGCTTGCGCCAAGCTTCTTGGAGCCTTAAAGAAGGATGGGGTCTAAGAGGACAGAAGAGCACACTGCAGCTGCCCGAGCAGGCCCATCCGAGCGTGGGGCCGCTTGTATGCCGGATGATCGGCTTTCAGAAAGGGGAAGTCGCCCTGACGCATGGCACTGCATGACTGTGCGACCTGTGAAAGTTTTTGAGGCTGTGTTCCGCAAATTCTGCTGGCAGGTTGAGAGCAGCGCTTCGTCCGCGTCCTCTCCCTCATCCTGGCAAGCGTGCTCTGTCCAGGCACATGAGATCGCCCGGCTTGCCTCATGTAGTTGGTATGTTGATGAACATAAAAACAAACCCAGCATCAGTGCCTGTGGGTCAGGGCTTGGTGGGTCAGCCATACTGCACCTGCTGTCTGGCGCACCCAAGGTAGCAACCCGCCATCACTGAGTCTCAAGTCCGCCACCAGCAAGTCTTCTCCTCCGCTCCCTTTGAGAGCTGGTCTGAAATGGCAGCAGCGTGGATCCAAAGAATGGCAGGCGGAAGCGAGCGAAGTCGAAAACGAGCCGCCGAGCAGAAATGCGCGTGCTTTGGGGCAGCTATAGTACGTAGGAATGGCTAGCCAATCGGCTCTTCATGGACGGGTCGGTGCAGATACTTCGCACGCCACTTTCGTTCTCAGGCGCCATGGCTAGACACGATACACACCAATCGCAGCGGCAATCTTGCAGTTCCTGCAGAACATGCTGGCTCTGTACACAGGTCACCTTCCCTCCTGCAAACATGAACGCCGATATAAGGGTCCCCTCCTTTTGGGCTTAGCCTATGACGCGTCATCTCTGCAGAAGGCGTTGGACTGGTGGTCGTCATTAACATTTGACATACGTAGGACGTAGGGAGCATGCATCAAGCCATGGGCGTGGCATGGTTCTTTGGGCCCACCTACTGCACGTGTGGTCCGATGTGTATAAAGCCATCCACGCCGCATGGGCAGGTGAAATGATACAAGGCGACAGCATCTAGGGGCAGTGAGCTGCCGGACATGCACAGGAGGACGTGAGGAGTCCACCGAACTACGTTGTGCACAGCCAGTAAGCACACAAGATGCTGTAGTAACTGTAGTATGGGAGTCGCGGCATGTCGCGGCTCTGAGGGTACCAATTTGGAGTCCTGAAGGCAGGGTTCTTGAAGCAAAGGCTCTTATGAAAGTGTGTCAACCGACTGCGCACGCATGGGAGGTGAAAAATGTGCGAGCATGCCGAAGGACGTTCGGCTCTCCAAAAAGCTACTTCTTCAGTACTGCGCGTTCTGAGGCGCAGAGCACCACGGGCACTCCTCACAGTGCACCACTGCACGCAGCAGAGTGGATTGAAGCATCGGGTCGCGCTGACGAAGTCCGCAGAAGTCACAAGGCTCCTTGAACTGCTGCACCCAGATGTTCCAGTCATCGCGATTCGCGGCAACATGACACACCTGAACCATGGAAGCGAGCTTCCATGTTCAAGGCTCTGCATCGCCGGAGCAACAAACTCAAGAACTAAACCCTAAACCCTAAACCCCAAACCAAGATAAGCCAACTGACTGTGCATTCCACTCGCGACTTCTTCTGGACCGGAAAGCCCGAGATCGCCTCAGTGGAAAGAAGCACCTTCTACGCTTCCCTTCGGAAAGCAATGTTTGGGGGTTTACGAACATAAGGGCCCCCTACTAAAGTCCCCCTAACAGTAGCATTCCCTTATAACCTCATAATAAGGACCCGAATAAGGTACCCCGAACTTCGGAAACCCCCATTGTTCTCAGGTCGGCACACAAGGCTCGCTGAGCGTGCTGCAGTTCCTCGGGTTTGCAGCTTCCCAAGCCTGCCCTATCGTCCCTCTCGGACTTCATGTGAGTCAACATGATTGACTCCGTGCATTCACGCAGTCTTGCGAAGGAGGTGCGGGCACATGAGCGTTCCAGTATAGATCTGCGCCGCACACCTGAATCCATGGCTGGAATTCGGAAAGGATAGGAAAAGGTTGAACATGCGGGCACCGCGTCATGTGCTTACTCAAGCGTGCAGGCAGCACTTGTCGCACTGACGCAGGTCCATCTTCTGCTGGACATTCTGGTCCATAGACCATCCCAAAACCCAGTCGCGGATTTCCTCGACCTCTGAAACAACGCAAGGCCCCTAAGGCCATTGCATGGTACACATGGGGACATCATGGCCGCTTCTCCGCTGCCTTGTCGTTGGAGATGTGCGCCTGCTCCGGAAGGTCCAGATCCTCAGGCGAAGAGCACTGATGCAGACTGGCGAGTGGCACAGGCGAGTGCGGCAGCTTTGTCCCAAGGTATGGGCATACGGCGAAGGAATATCGGTATCCATGAAGTCAGTGTTGTCAATCGCAGCGTTGTCCGGATCTTCGATTGCATCTGCAATGTCCAGGAAGCGGTTGAGGAAGAAGAAGGACATGTTGATCATGCCTGAAGGAAGAGAACATGACATCCAAGGCAACTTAGCAGGCACGCAGTAGTTGAATTGACGAGCTCTCTTGCCTGCATTTTTGCAGTCAAGACCGGCATCATAGAATGCCAGATCCACTGGGAACTCTGCACAGTAACCTGAGCCACTCCATCGTTGGAGTCAGGAAGGGCATGGATGCCAACAGTTGAAGAAAGGAGGCAAGTTGAAGAGATGCTCCACAAACACACTCCACAACCTACACATGTCCCAAAAAACTGCTACAGTATCGAAGGCTAGGGCTATGACTGGTACTTGTACTCATACTCACACTAATACTTGAAAGACTCATACTCTCACCTCCACAAATACGAAAATACTCATACTCATACTCATACTCATACTCATACTCATACTCATACTCATACTCATACTCATACTACTACTAAAAACAGTACTAAATATCTAGCAATTGCAGAAGCACTCATCTACCCTCGGCCCCCGGCGGCAGAGCGCAACGCTGACCTTCGCCACAACCTCTGGGGCCATGTTCCTCTCTCGTAACCTCCCAATGATGGTTGGGCCGAATCGATGTAGGGACTGTATAAGGTATACACAGGGGGTTCCAAAGGGGTATATGAAGTAGGGTTTACATTTCTTGTACTGCGGACTCGAGGTCGTGAATCATATCAAGGTCCAAAAGGACACCCAAGGTATACACTCAGCCAATACTAAAAAGGAACCTTATTTAAATAGAAATATAAACCCTGCTTCATATAGGGGCTTCTAGGGATGATTTCTGAGGCTTCACGGCAAGTGAAGCCTCTCCCGCACCGTCTGCAGGTGCGCAGTCAGGAGAGCCTGCAGGCTTGCACGAAGCACTCTTGGCCACTCCAGTGTGCTGAAGTCCTGCGAGCCATGGCCTTGAGGAACTCTGCCTGAGGCCGGCGATCTTCTGAGAGCATCTTCGGAGTTGGCGGCGCTGGCGCAGGCAACGGGAGGCAAACAACAAACCCTTCGCTGAGACAGGTCGGGTGAGATGGAAACCGAAGATGAGGAAAGGTCGCAAGCGTACTGCATGAAGACCCCAAGGCTCTGATGGCTCTTAACCCCAACCCCTCCAAAGTCGGATATTTGGTAACTATGTTGTCGGGGGCTGCGATGGGCCGCGTGTTGTTCGGAGAAGTCATGTTTGCTGGTGGCGCAGATTTTGGGATGCGCGTGCATAACCCAGGCATCTCTCCACTGTGGTGCAAGAGCCGACGGCACCTCCCAGTGTGCCGGGCGGCGTCATGACGCGCAGCAGCATTTCCCGCACCAGCGGTGGCCCTCCGGCATCAGCGCACGACCTGCAGCGGCCCGCCGCCAACAAATGGCCAGATGGGCACAGGGCCAAAGGGAAGGCGAACCCAGCGTGCAGACGGACGGAAGCTGGGCCGGAGGCAGCAGGTCGGTGTGAATGAGCTGCAGACCAGGGAGTCGTGAACCCGACAACACTTCAGCAGCACTACAAAAAGAACTCATTGAGTGACTCCCTGTGGAACCTTGTAGAGAGGGAAGTTGGTCTGCTCAGGCGGAGGCCCGTACCGGACCAGCATCTGCGCAGCCTTCACAAGCTGCACCCATCTTTGGCATGGGTATTTCCCCCAAGGGGGTGCCCTTGATATACCCCCAAAATAGTAGAATCCTTATTACAGGAACCCCCCAAAAGGGTACCCCATGGTACCCCTATGTTCGGAAACACGTCCCAGGGCTGCCTGAAGGATCTCCTGCTTGTTGGCCAAGACCCTGCAGTACTGCACCTGGAGAGCACATGCAACATTCTCCAAGCACCCCACTCTGAGTGGTCTCTACACCTATGGCACTATGATGCAGGTTGTATGATGCTCTGCTGGACGAAGTCTGACTAAGCATGCCGGGAGGACGAGGTAGTGAGGAAGCATCTTCGGGCTGTGCTTCTCGGCCAGTGCCAGGCACTTGGTCCAATCTCCGTTGCGGGCATACATGTCCAGCCTTGGCGTATTCTACGAAGTCACCACAGCCGAGTTTTCAGGATTTTTCAGGTCACTTCTCCGAGCAACAGGCGCACTGTCCACGTCTCCGGTGCGACGGATGAGCTCATCACCATCTCCTCACGCTTGGGCGTCGAGAAATGCAGACAAGTCAGGGTCACAGATCTGGCACGAACTGAGACACTGAGACCGCCGCCCTTGCCAACCAAGTCTGTTTTGTACCTGCCGTTTGCTACCATCTTTCCTAGCACACTCCACAGTCCTGCAAACGGCATTTCGGCACCTATCTTCCACCACGCGGACCATGTCCGGGCAGTGCTGCTGCGCGAGCTGCCGCGCTTTGTCCCACACCTGGCACACGACGGCATGCACAGGAGGCGCGCCGGCCTTCGGGGCTTCCAGGGAATGCCAGGGAACCTCGCCGGCGATGTAGCAATTGACCGCTTCACGGAAAGCGTCGATGCTTTCGTACAGCTCCGCGGCCGCCTCTTCAGGGCAGCTCACTCAAGCTCAGCTCCTTCAATTAAAAGGACCCTTTGCCTCAAACCGCTGGATGAGCTTCAACCTCTTGGAGACGATCGCCACGATATCGGTGTAGCGCTCCTGTCTCACGCCCTCAACCCCAAATCCCAGACCGGAGACCCATCGAGAGCGGCATTCCTGGGCGTGCTTCATGGACAGGCGCACCGCGTTCTCCCAGACCTGACACGTGAGAAATTGCAGGGATGAGCTGAAGTCCTGATCTCCCAAAGGAACCCTGAACCCTGGAGAAGCCTCATGGGGACCCCTTAACTAAGGAACGTATCTTAATGCCGGAGCATTCTGTACATTTCTGGACATTTCATACCGCTGCAGGCTTCGAGTGCCACGAAGTGAAGGCGCATTCTTCCTGCCCAGGAAAGGCTCAACAAGGCCTCCTCCAGGCGATCCGGCTCCGAGGAGGCCGTCTCGTTCACCTCGGGGGGGGCGCTTGGTTTGGGTGAGTCTGGAGCGCGATGGGGCGTCAAAGGCTTGCAAGGGGCTTTGAGTTTTTGGCTGAGAAGCTCCAAGGGCGTAGACGACTGCCCTCATGTCCCTCAACGAACTCCAAATGCTGGACCCCTCAAGGCTCCGGCTGAAAGGTATGCGTCAATGGCACGCGAGTAGTTGCCGGTCTCCTCGTCGGCACGTGGGGTGGTGATGGTGTAAACGAGCAACAAAATACCCTATCCCATAGGGTTTGGGGTTTAGGGTCGTAGGGCTTTGGGAGCCCTAAACACCGGGCCCTAGATCAAACAAGCCCCACATGCCCCTAAACACTCACGAAGCGTCAGGCTCCAAAGAGAATAAGAAAGAAGCTCCAGTTGAGGCCCTTTGAAAGCCCAGATTAAAAGTGAGGCTTAGGGTTTAGGTTCAGGGTGTGGGGCTTGGGGTTCGGGGTTCGGGGTTTGGGGTTTGGGGTGTGGGATTTGGGGTTTGGGGCTACCGACCTCGTAGATCTTCGCAGCATCTAGGATCTCGTCCAAGCTCTGCGGTGCACCTTGACAAAAAGGACCAGGATTCGGTGCATTGAGTTCTGCGAGCCTATTCTCATGCGGAGACTAGAAGGGTTCCCAGCACGCGGCCATTGAATGGAGAACCCTACTTCTTGAGGTTTAGGGTGTAGGGCTTAGGCCCGGCAAAGGTGTCATCAAGTCTTAAGCCAAGACGACCACACAACTTAACGACCATGATGGTGATCATGATCCTGGCTGTCAGGTCCCCCCCAAACCCTAGACCCTGAACCCTAAACCCTGAACCCTAAACCCTAAACCCTAACACCGTGGACAACAAGACCATGCCTTCGCTTCTGTTCTTGCTTCCTGCCTTCATCTACCCGGCTTGTTGCTTAGGGATGCCATGAGAACATCGCTGAGGATTCCCTGGCTGGTCAGGCTATGAAACGTGAATACCCTCTCTTCATGACGGTTTTCAAGTGCTGTGGCTTTGCTCCATGGCTGTGGGAACTGTTTTCTACTAAGAGTCGTTAGGGTTTAGGGTTTAGGGTTTTTGCCCTGCTTACGGCCCACACTTTACTGCTACTGCCTGGAGCAGCAGCGCCGTCGCCATAGGAGTCGACCACATCACCCAACATCTGCGGGCAGTGCTTCTTGCAGACCTTTGGCACAATCGGACTTGTGCCAGGCTTCAGCACCCCTCATGCGATCAGGTTTCAGGCTTTGGCAGCTCTAAAGCCCTCTCGAGTGTATCTGAGTCAACCACCCTCACGGCTTCGTTCACCATGCGCTTGGAGGAATAGGCCTCCATGGCCACATAATGCCACATTGCCACATGGGGGGATGTTCTACGTAAGTATCCCTTCTGGGGGCCTTCTTGTCACGTCACCGCAAAAACAGAAACGCAAACGGGGATTGACCCAAGCTCGTATACACCCGATAGTTCAGGGCACTGCAATAAAGGTCCTTAAGAAGAGCTCGGAACCCAGTAAAAGTCAAATTGCTGGCCTTCACCGCCAACTCCGGCTTGCCAGCCTGGATGAAGAGATTCTCGGCAGCCTCGGGTTTGGGGTTCAGAATGGTCCAGGGCCTCAGGGCTTTGGGGCGTTTAGGAGTTTTTTGGGGGGTTGCCGGGCAGCTTGAGGGTTGTCGGGGCTTAAGTTTGGGGGGGGATGAAGGAGTGGGCTTAGGGGCTCTTGGTGGTTTCCCATCTCCCCTTTTGCCCGCGCCCTCTGCTCCTGCATGTTGTTCTGGTCGACGAGGTCCTTGGCATGGTGGACCATCACGTCCTTGATGCTCTCGCGCTCGTATGCCTGCAGGGCACACGGAGGGGAGGTGCCGGCCTTCGGATGAGGAAGCTGGACCACTAAACCCACCTCTGCCACCCGCATGGCAGAGACCCAATCGCGCCCGTGCACATACCTGAATGGTGCTGCTTGCAAAATGCAGGAACTAAAACGGAAGTGAGGAGGGCGATTGCTAAGTGACGCGTCGCAACAACGCCCAGCTGCATGTCGATGGCTTCCTTGGGCTTGTTTGCCTTGATGAACTCCTCCTCCGCCAACTTAAACCTCAACAGTCGCTAGATGTGGGGGGCTTCCGAGATTAGGGGGTACCTTCTTGGGGTCCATATTATGAGGGAAGCGTAGTATTTGGGGGTCTATATGAGGGGTCCCTTATTTCGTAAACTCCCATGATCTCCCCTGACAGCTCTCAAGAGAGCCAAGAGAATTCAAGGCCAGGGCTGCTCGTCATCCTCCAGGGCCAGCGCCTCTTTGGAACCCCGACAGGGGCGCCACCCCGGAAACAGCTTTTTCCCCGTTTTTAGGGCTTCGGGTTGGGATGTTCCCCCTTATGCTAACAATCCTTACTAGGGAACAAAAAGGGATTATCGCCATAATCCCTACTGAGTATTATAATCGGGGTACTAGAATCATGATAATCCCTGTTTTCAAGCTCTGAGCTTTTCCTGGATGCTTCCACGGGCCTTCTTGAGGTGGATGTCGGGGAGCTTGTGCTTGGCTGAGTGGTTCGCCAGCTCGAAGGCATGCTGGAAGTTGCTGTGCTCCACTGCATAGTCAATGGCCTCAAGAGAAATGTGAGCGTAAGGCGTAAGGTGCAAAAGCCACGCCGGCCCAACTAGGCTAAAGGAGCAAGGAGAGATCTGGGTACTTCACCCAAATAGGGGTACCCTTAATATACCCTAAATAGTATAATACTGATTATGGGAATCCAAAAAAGGCTCGGAACCCCTATTTGAGGAGGCCGCAATCTCGATCAGGCCGTGCTTGGCCAGCAGCTGTGCCCCGGCCTTAGGGCATCGTGCAATCTCAGGACGGCCCCCCCCCCCCTCCCTCGCCCCCCATGCGTGAAGCACATCACGCTTTGCTTACCCTTATGCCCCCGTTGCCTCAGCTCCATGTTCCTTGAAGGTTGCCTGGCATGTCGCGACATGAGTCTTGCTTCCTGGTCGCATTAGGCGCACTTTCGACTTGCTAGAGAGGCAGAATGAGAATAAGATGGAACAAGACAGGCTTGGGTGGCGTGAGCTTGTGCCAAGACCACCTTCTCGAAGGACTGCTTGCCGCCGTGCATCTGGCGGACGAAGCGGCTACGGCATGCTGAGGCAGAGAAGGCTAAGGCCGAGTTCTGAGTCTCCTAGATTGGTTGGGAGTGATGGAAGCTGCGGCCTTGGCAACGCGCTTGGCATCTTCCCACTTCTCGAGCTGACGATACATGGACATGGCGCTGGTCCACATCTTCGCCTCAAGGTTCTGACTCAAAGTCGCTCGGGGCTCAGCGCTTGAGAGAACCCAAACCGAGAGGAACAGGGCCAGAGAGAGAGAGAGAGAGAGAGACAGAGAGAGAGAGAGAGACACAGAAAGCACAGAGAGGGAGCCAGCCACAGCCAGCAAGCCAGCACCCCGAGCTTGGCAGGGTGGAATGGCGAGGAAGGCTCAACAGGCTCTCAGCTCGAAGCCCCTGGCGCCTCAACATAGTAGTGCTCAGCCTTCTTGAGGTTGCCCTTCATCTCGTACTGCTCCGCAATGTGCTTGTAGGTGTCATTCAGGAGCTCCTGAGGATGTTTCGTGGTCTTTACGCAGCTCCACCTACCAGAAGCATGTTCCAGCGGAGGCAAGAAGTCCTTGCGGTATTTGGATACCAAGCGCAGCATCTGCTCATACTCTTCGCGCTTCTTATACCTCGGTTACCAACGAGACCCTATGCCTCCGGCCTAGGGTGTGCCAGATGCAGCCACACAGGCTTCGCAATGAAATGTGGCTCTGAGATCGTCTCATGTTGATCGCCAGATCAAACTCATTGACGGCCAAGTACATTTGCTCGGCCTTACAAGCTGAAACTCATCTGCACGATCGCATGCAATGGCCCCGCTCTACGTCACTTCCCCAACCTCGTTGAGCTTGACCGATTGCTCCAGGCCCTGGCACACGACGACTCTCCATGAATAGGGAAGCTTGCTTCCCAGTGTCTGCATGTTTTTGCGTTTTTTGCTTCTTGTTTCGGCCCAGAGCCTGCGCCAGCGCGATGTAGAGCTCCGTCCTCTCTGCGGGGGAGAGGTGTGCTTTGGCAACACGGTGAGCTTTCTCGTACCTGCCCAGCAAGGAAACACCATGAAACACCCTAGTAACTAGGAGAACGCCAAATACTTCGAGAGCAGCTGCGGTGCGCACTGCGCATGATCGACATACATCTGGACCTTGGCAGCAAAAGGTTTCTCGGTGACGCTGCAGGTCGAGGCAAGTCGAGCTAGGTCGAGCTTCAGTACATCGCAGACTTTGAGGAACTCAGGAGCTTGAGAGCTTCACTCGTTTCATTCCCTCTTTCACAATGGCGTGACCTGTCGAAACCCAAGTCGTGGAGTCGGCGCCGAGAGCGCGGCAGCCCGCTGTGGTCGGCCGGACTTGATGAAAGCTCGCTCTGCTTGCTCGAACCTTAGGATATCTCGGGGCGGCAGAGGGACTGACTCAGTCGCTGCAAGGAGTCCAGAGCTATTCCAGAGATCTGCGGATCCGACTGGCGGGAGTGCGCATAATGCGTGGCCAACTTCTCGTAAAACGGCAGGGCAAAGCTCTGATCGGCACCCATTGAAGCCTTTGCATCACGTCTGTGGCACAGCCAACATGTTTCAATTGGTCAAAGATGCATCAGCGCAGGCGACGGGACCTGATCCAACAACGTCTCGGCTTTGTGCCACTGCCGTGCGGTCCTCGGTCATGCGGTCGGTTGCTCTCTGAGGTGCCCCGTTTGTTACTTGAAGTACAAAAAGGAGCCACACAAAGAAGAGATCTAAAGAAGCCATGGCGATTGCGGAGCGACCCGACCATGAATCGGCTGTCTTACAGTGTCTTACAGGCTCCACCCTGCAAAATCCGGGTGCCCGGCATGGCCGCATCGATGGCCTTCGTGGCTGAGCCAGCCTGAGGAGAACGGGGACAATGCCTAAAGGCCTGACACCCATTTTGCGGCATTCCACCCCCAGAATCCCGGGAAGCCCTAAGTGGTCCTAAATCGGAACACTGCGCTGTGCCGGCTGCGCAGCATGTGCCGGTTTCCATAAGTGCCAGGCCTCAATGTAGTGATTGATCGCTGCGTCCACCTTGTGCATCATGTTGCTGCAGTGGGTTGCATGGGGCTTCGATGACTTTGCTGACCCTCAGGAATGACGGGAAAGACACCAGTAAGCAACGCCTGCCGCTGCGAGACCAACCAGTCGCCCCACTCCTCCTCCAGAGCAACCTGAGCGTCAAAACCAGCAACTGCATGACCCTGCTGCTCTTGCGGCTCGCTTGCGACACTTCCTCGTAAACAACACAAACCCCTACCATCCTAACACGAAACGATCAAAAGGAGTGGGGCGTGGAAAGCTGTAAAACCAAAGTGTGGGACAGCAAGCCCTTGACCACACGGTCACGTGGAAGGTAAGGCCGTTTACCGGAAAAGAAGCGTGGGACAGCTGTGGGGCTAGAGGAACAAGCCATAAAGCCGTTGGAATCCCTAAAAATCGTGTGGGCGCCTAAAGAAGTTTGTGACAGTGGCAAGCACAACACGCTCGCAGAGAGGCACGGGTAAGAAGCCTCAATCCCAGAACTCAGGAAGTCGGGGAGTGGCTAGCGCGTCTTGGGTCTCGAGGCATCCCTTGAGATGATGGACTCAAGAAGAGAGCATCTATGAGGGACGTCTGGCAAAATGGCGGCACAAGCGCGCAAGCAATCTGGAAACCCGAAATGCAAGTGGTATGAGCCAGGCACCACCAGGCCAGGCTGAGAGTGCTTGGCCAGCTCGATGGCCTGACACCGAGATCTGCAGAAGAGATTCGGATTCGAACAAGACAACACCAAAAAGACACCACAAAGAAACAAACTGATGTGCGCTGATTCGCTTGCAGAGGTAGGATGAGGTAGGGATTGGGGCCTGTCTGTAGGCGTGCCCACGGCGGTACGCGTCCATGGCCGGCTGAATGAGACCCATGCGCTCGTAGAGGCCGCCCGCACGGTCGTGCATGCCACTGGCCTTGTCGGTGGGCTATCGGAGCAACTTTGACCTTCCAAAAACTCGCTGAGCCGGTGAACCTGCAGACCCGCGACGATCTTTTGCAAAAGCTCCTGGAAAAACGGAAAGTGTCAGGTGCACCAACAAACTAGCACCATCAAAAGCAGCAGACACAATTATCGCGGCGGCGTTTTCCCGCCCCCTAAGCCGACGCAACTCTGGCTAGAATGCTAAAAAGACCCAGTCCTGGGAGTAGTTGGCGTTGTGTCGCTGGACGACCGATGCAGCCTGTGCGGGCGTGAGAAGACCGTCCGAGACCAGCGACAACTCTCTTCCATCGCCGCCTTTGCGGCCATTCCGCCGCGGAGATACAGCTCGATGGCCCTGGCAGATTGAAGGTGCTCGGAAAAATTCTGAGGCGATGTGTTGGATAATGCTCTTTGACTCTTTTCTTGCCTCAGCAGCATGTCTCCACGGCCCTCTCCCATAACATTCATGGTGAAACCAAACACAGCTGGCAGACTCGAATACGATCCACAATGATCTCTCCGAGCAGGAGAACTGGGAGTTCCGGTCCCAATGGACGGCCAAGTTCACTCTCACTCCTTCAAGGCAGGCGCCTGCGAACTCTTTCGGCAGCTCTGCAAGATTTCAGCTCAACAACTCAACAACCATACATACTTACTTAACAGGATGCTACAGGCCAGACGCAAAAGCTGGAAACGCCTTCTCCGGCACAGCAAATCCACGCTCGCCGTGGTTGGCAAAGATACTCGGAGTGCGCCACAAGTCTCGGCTCCTCATCCGGATCAAGCTCACATATCTCCATAGCTTTGAAAAGGGGTGACTAAGGTGACTAAGGTTCTCCTCTGCCGCAACTTCGGCTGCATGAGTGTCTCAGTGAACTCCCACGGACGCGGTTCGCCTGTGCGCCCTCGCACCTCCGACAGCTATGAAACCAAAAAAGGGACACTTGTTCACCCCAACTGTCAGTCGCATCCACACTCTGCACACTCGGACCATAATCTTGGGCAACCACCCCAGTAGGCAACTTGGTGTAGATTGCCAGCCTACGAGGGCACTTCATGACACTTCAGAAGCAGCGTTGCATCTGAACAAAAGTCACTCAGATCCACTCCCTCATCATCAAAAGATCATGTGCGCAAAATGTTTTGGACCAACTTGGCACTCGAGGACCCAGCATTGTGTTTCCGTATTCGCGATTCCTGCAAGCACAAGCGAGCTAAAGCAAAAGGCACGATGGGCACAAAGGCACTTGACAGGTCCGAAACCCGTTGATGGTTCGCTGCGTCAGGGTGTCTACGAGTCTGTGATGTGAGGCTACGATACCAGAGCAACCCAGCTCAGGTTAGCAGCATACAAGCTTGTTCGTGTGCTGAGGTAGAACTGATTGCCAAGGACAAGAGACGACCAATCAGTTCAAAGTGGGGCCACGACATGCAACAACAAATGTAAGAAGCTACCGCCAAGAGGGTCTTGCCAATCTTGTGCCCTGGGGGCAGCCTGAGTCCATGGAGTACAGGAACTCCAGCGGCAATGTCGTCGAAGTCATCTTCGTCTTCGAAGGGCGCACACAGCACCGGAGGCAGGGCCCCTGACCAAGTGTTTGCATGTGTGCGAACCACGGCGCAGCCACAAAACGCCCTGTTGAACACACAGCAAAACTGCCACAAGACCACCGAAACCACCGTCAGCTCTTGCAGAGGATGCCTAACTCCCGCGGGTACTCGATGCAAACCAGCCCATCTCGCTCAATGAGCTCAGACTTCGCCAAGGCCTGAGCTGCCACAGAGAGCAACCAGAGACACTGAAGCTGGCAGTGGTCGTAATCCGTGGCCCTTCCATGTCGGTTAGGGCTGATGTGTGCGGCATTCTTGCACGTGTTTCAAGCATGCATGTTGTCAATCCCTGGTCAACACCATGATGAAAGCCGAACAAGTTCTTCACATCCGTGTGTCCATGACACTGGTGGTAGCGTTTGCTATACAATAGCTTCCAGCATCCACGCCAGCAGAGTATCAATTGAAACTAGAGCGGTGTTCACATCATCGACAGGGCAACCCAAGATTGTGGGCGGAAAGGCTTCGCCGGCTTCGCATGAGAAGTTGCAAAAAGCAAGCAACACATGGCAACACATGGCAACACGGCCAGCCGGGTGGGTACATGATGCGGACGGCTTTGCATGACGTCGCGATAGTCTTGAGGGTACAGGGATTTTGTTCGTTTCGATCATATGGAGCCACATGCAATCACAAGGATGTGGAACAACAACATGGATTAATATCTTTTCCGAGCATGGAATCTCGGCCCCTGACAGTGCAGAGCTGACGGAAAGAGATCTCGTCGGGGTTGGGAGACACCGTCTGCCAAGTTAAGTTGGAATCTTGATTTGAAGCGACTCCACAGGCTTTTTCGGGCGTTTGGGCTTTGGGTTTACGGTTTCCGAGGCTTAAGGAACTTAGAAAACTTGCACAGAACAACGTGGGAGGGGCACGATCAGATTGAAGCTGCGGTTCACGAGGCCGTACTTCTCGGGATCCTGGTCGCGAGACGTGCGAGCTCTGTGCAACTTACCCTAAAGCCTGAACCCTAAACCCTTATTTTCCTGACCCTAAACCCTTGGAAAGAAGTTGAAGACATCATAAGACAGATCATGATCAGCCTCAAGAAGATCCAGGACGTCCGCCTGCAAGGTCAGGGCAGCTGGCGGACGAAGCTCTCTGAGAACCCCTAAATCCTAAACCCTAAACCCTAAACCCTATCACGTCGCCTGGATGGCACCCACCGGCTGCCGCGCCACCTGGGCGCGGTGCAGCTCGATCTGGACCTGAGCCCGAGGACCTGGCTTTCCGTGGAAGTCTGAGTTTAGGATAATAAGGGCACACGGGGGTTTAGGGTTTAGGGTTTAGGGTTCAGGGTTCAGGGTTTGGGGTTTGGGGTTTGGGGTTTGGGGTTTAGGGTTTAGAGTCATATAGACCCCAAATAGTAGGATCCCCTTAGAATAAGGACTCCAAGAAGGTACCCCCTAAATCGCGTGAACCTCCGTCGAAGAGTTCTCAAGATGCCCAGCAGGTGCTGGAGGCCTCCAACCATGCTCAAGGGCCCCGTCTCGGCCTGCGTCGCCGCTCGCTTCTGCTGCTGAGGATGTCGAGAGTAGGGTTTTTTGGGTTTAGGGTTTAAAAATTAAGCTTTAGGGTTTAGGGTTTAGGGTTTAGGGTTTAGGGTTTAGGGTTAGAGTCCATGCATGCTTTTGCGCACAGCTTCCGTGGCCGCCCAATCGGCCTCGAGGCGCTCGTTCATGGGGCCTTTCGAGGCCTCCTCGTGCTCCATGTAGCCACACAGCCAGGCGTTGGCAATGGCACAGTCGACACCTCTGTCCGTGACTTGAGCACTCCACACAGGATGAGTTAATGCCAACATCATCAAATCTCCTCAGACCCAGCAAGGTCGTAAGCGGGGGACAATCCTTCGAGGAGTCGACCTGAGCAAGTGTCAGGTCGCGAGCAGCGGAGCGGCACACGATCCAAAAAGCTGAGGCCAGCACAAAAATGCACTCAGCTGCTCCTCGGCTGAGCCCTTCGATCCCCACCGAGCCCGTCCCTGCACGGAATCTCTGACTGGCCATCTGGTAGTGGCTCATTCGCCACTTTCAATCAGCTTTTGCTTCGAATCTGATCATCTGGTCACGGAGCACTGGCCTGTGAAGAGGTCGAGGTGACGCACCGAGCGATCTTCGAAGAGATGCATGGCAGTCACCTTGATGAAAAAAAAAACAATTCACTGATACCGTATGGACATCAGTGCATCAAGGCACTGCGGCCACCATCCCGCCGGCTTGTCGCGCGCTTGTTCAACCCCCTGTGCTTTGCTGCGGCCCCGGCTTGGTTGAAGAGAGCCTCACGCACCCGCTCCATCGTCGGTCTCACGATGACCTTCAAAAGCACCAAGATCAGGTCAGATTGGCAAATGCATTACTATATTTTCGTATGTCCATAATATAGTAATATAGTAAATGCAACTTCACTGCGCCCCAACACCGCGTCACTGGGTGTGCAGCTCCGGCCGGCTGCTCCAGCCGACGGCGCTTGGCCTTGGACGATCAAGCACTGCCTTTCTTGAGAAGCAAGCCGAGGCCAACGCAAGTAGGCAATCTCAAACCCTAAACCCTAAACCCTAACACCATAATTATTAATGATCGTCATCCCTCAGTCCCTAGTACCCTGAAACCCACAGTACCCTAAGGCCTCAATACACCAAATCCCTCAATCCCCTACATCCTCAATACGCTGAAGTACCCTAAAACCCTCAATGCCTTAAACCCTCAGACCCCAAAATTTAACCCCAGCCCTCAATACCCCAAAACACCCTCGACCACCTTAGAACCTTAACCTGGATCCCAAACACTCGGATATGCTGTTGCTTCTGCTGGCTGGAATCCACAATGACCTGGTCATCATCGACCCCCTCCGAAAAAGTTCTTGGTTCCCTTGAAAGAATCAATGCTGATTTCTGTGAACCGGACCCCCATTCCTGATGGAATCATTTCAATAGTTTGCAGCTTTCCGGACTTGTCCGACCCTTGGCAACCTCAGGTCCGAAACTCCATCAAGTTCAATCAAGTTCCAGATGCTGTCCCAGATGCGGTTCCAGTGCTGACGCGCAGCCGGGAGGGGAAGTCCCAGTTCTTGTGCGCCAGCGGAGGGCCCTGCTTCAAGCGCCACGACACCTGAGCGGTTTTTTATGGCGACAAGGTAAGGCAGCAGAAGTGCGCCGACTTGCTTCCAACCATTCCCCAAGTCGTTCTTAGAGGCGCCGGCCTTTTGTTTGGAGCGCTTTGAGCGGCCATGCGCATGGCCCGGACCTATCCACGAGGTAAAATGAGCCCTCGAGGCTTGCTTCCACAGTCGTTCCTCCGAAAGCATCTGAGGGACAGGCCACCGCTCACGCTTCTGGTCGGCCTTGTCCTGTGCCGCCAGGAGATATGACTACATCCTTGAAGACATGCACAAGAAGCGGACAAAGTAATGGACGAGGCAGCAAACATTCTGCAGGCCCGATTCTAGAATGCATAAATCGGGTAAGCAGCAGTTGCTTCCACATTGCTTCCTACCCGCTCCACGTCCCACCTGCTGATGCTTAGCCAATGGTTGGGGACGTCCACATTGACCAGCTCGTTCGATCCAGGTGCGAGCACGTCAAGCCTGGGTGTTGGCCAGGCAACATTCTCCGCTCCAACTATGGTGTGCGTGTGGGGAAGCTGACCTGCTTCCGCCAAACAACTTCGCTTCAGCAACTCTGACCACCTCCTAGTATAGCGATAAACGGCTTTGCATATCAAAGGCCACCGACGGAGCGAATGAGAGAGAGAGAGAGAAAAAAAAAAAAAAAAAAAAAACAAGAAAAACACACACACACACACACCAAGCCCAGAACTGCGAAGATGCTGGATCTGACAGCGCGGACCTCCTCACACTTCAACGTTCAGCGCTGAACAACTCAGGCATACTCAGGCGTCCTGTCAACAGGGGTTGCGACTGGGGGCCCCCGCATCGGATCCCTGGAACTGCTGCTCCCGCCACCACCTTGCAATCAAGGGAATCACGATGAAACACAACGACTGGCATAAGAAACAGGGTCGAGCACAGAAAAGGCTTTTTTCCGGTGTTTCCACAAGGGAAGCACCTGGCCCGGCATCATCGGCATCCTCGGCATCCTCGGCATCCTCAGCCTCTTTCGGGTACGCTTGTAAATTCCCAAGCATCAAAAACTCGGCAAGACATGTACTATGATGTACAATGTACATGTTCGGCACGGACGAGCGTACAGCCTCCGCTCGGCACGCCACTCGGCGGAAGCTCCTCCGCGAGTGCAACGGGGCTCGCCTCCCGGGTGCACCCACCGCCACCGGGAAAGCCTAAGGAATGCCAAAACATGGTCAGCGCATGTCAACCCACCTGCCTGCTCATCAAGGCCAGCCCAAGGCCCGTCATGGCCTGGGACGTGGTGCGCGGTGAAGACAATACAGCATGGTGCTGTGATACATCCATCTATCAGCGTCCACCGAACGCCAACTCCTGAGCCTCCGTGCCGCCGGCAAGACCCCTCTCGGCTCCGAAGCATGGCTCGGGCCTCCAACTGTCTCAAAATCTCTCAAGCAAAGACCACCTCGGAGTGAAAAATCCTGAGCTGGCCTGCAGAGGAGACCGCACCGGGCTGCGATGCAGTCGGCAGAGGCCACGGGATAGGCAATTGCTGTGCACACAACGCCATGTTTCCAGCCAAACTGCGGACCGCAACATGCAAGAACCGTCCTACACAAACACCAACCATGCCAGCGCAGGAGCAGAGCACTTGCAGAGCCGCCCTGCCAGTGCCTGTCAAGCCCTGTCAAGACCTGTAAAGCCTTTGAACCCTTGAGTCCCTTGGCCAACGCCTGACGTAGTCGCCATCGATTTCCTGGAGCTCGCCAGCCTTCTCCTGCAGCCCATGCAGCCCATGAAGGTCCGGCATCCCTGGATTTCCTTGAAGGCACCCCCCGCCCCTCCTCTTGCTGTGTGGACAGCAGCCATTGCAGGTAGTAGTTCTTCAGGTGCATGAGCTGGCCGGGCGAGCGACATGGGAACCCAGAACCCCCTTTTTGAACACCGCAAGACGCCGACACGTGGTCCTTTTATGGGGTCGGCGACAGCACTGCTCAATGCTGGGGCCTTGGGGTGGTTCTTCCGCTCTGCTAGCTGTATGGATTCGTTGTACTTGTGAAGCTCCTGTCAGGTGGAAAAGCAGAGGAATAGCCCATTGATTCGACAGCAACGAGGATTTTCTGAGCAAAACCCGTGCCCACAGTACGGTGCGCCTGGTACATGGCCAGCGCCTCATCTAGCTCGTTGTGGTCCAGCAGGATGGCTTCTGCTCGCTGGAACTGCTTCGCAAGCATGGCCATCTTGGCCTCAGCACCGTGCAGGACGTCATGGCACCGTGGAACAAGGTACATCTTCACGCTGGCCTGTGCCATGTAGTAGTTGGAGCCATCGCCGCCAACCTCTGCAGCGTGGTCTTGGATGAGGCGGTTGACCTCAAAGCGAACTCTACAGTCTCACCGAAGTTCTTGTGTTGCGGATGTCTCCACAGCACCCCTGCCTTGTGCAGGTATCGGCTCTTGGCCACATCACCCAACACCGCATAGCAGCGCTCTGCCACTGGCAGGTTGAAGTGCTCCTCTGCCAGAAGCAGGATGTGAAAGAACCCCGGGACCGGCGAGACCCTTACATTTCGCTACATGCTGATCATACATTCCTTACATTCCGTACATTGGAGAACGGCCAACTGTCTGAGAAGTGCTTTCCTTTCGTGCCTTCCTTTTGGGCCTTTCGTCACAAGGTCACCTGCAGTTTAACTAGAAGACAGGACCTTTAGAACATCTGGCAAATGCCCGTCCATGGAGGCATCAGCCAGCGATCGCCACATTGCTTCCGTCTCTGGCGTGAGCGGGAGCTCCTGGTGTTCAAGACATTCGCCGCAAGGATCCGCGCCATGTGATGGCAGTTCTCGCAAGCTGGCCTCCAAGAGATCCACGGCCTGCAGGAATTCAATCGCATACATCACCGAATCAACAGCACCACAATAAACTTCGCACCATCTCTGCAAGGCCTTCGCGTACTGACCCCGTTCCAGACATGAGCCAAAGGAAATCAAGCCCTCATCCAGCTCGTACTCCACCTGCCAACAACCATTCAAGCCTGCTTGATGACAAGGGGTTTCGGGAACTGTCACCATTTGCGTGTGGCAGTCTGCTTTGGCATTGTAAAACATTCGGAGTTTTCAGGCTTCTGTTCGAACAAGAACAGCAGGAGGATCCGCACGCATATGGATGCGAACATTTGCATCACAAAATCACTAGTTAGGCCTCACGGCAAAGTTGCAAACAATGATGCAAACCAGGGCACCAAATTTCTGTCACCAGCAAACATGAAGGCTCGCACAGCCACAAAGAACATCAAGGAATAACTTCCAGCAACATTCCAACGCAGAGCGAGAAGTCGTATTGATTGCCTTCCCTACCTCTCCTTGCAGCAAAAGGGGACTGCCTACTTTCGCCCGCTCTGCATCTCATGGTCTGAGGCAGCTGCCATGTTGACGCCCTCGTCCACGATGACACAAGTTCGACCGTTCGAGCGTTCGATGTCTTCGATGTCGCCCTTGATCTCATGTAGCGTCACCCGATCAGGAGCATTGATCGAGTACCATACACAAAGCTGTCCTGCGCAAATGGAAATAGCTGCCTCCTTGCATCCACTCATGCAAATGCTAGCGGGTCCTCTGTTCTGTGCCACGACTACGTCGCTGTCTGGAACCCACTGCACGTAGTTGCAGTAGTTCAGGAGGGTAACCTCAACAACTCTTGACCAGCTGGTGCAACGCAAGCTTGCACAATGACTTCTGACTCTGTAGCAGAGCAGGATACAGCTCTGCCTCTGCGACATTCATTACGAACGCCCTAGATACGATCCCTCCTGCACATTGCGTGAACCATCCTGGGGTTCTCTCCCAAGGAATGAGCCCTGCTCTGCTGCTCAATGTCAAAGAGGTAGAGCTGCCTCCTCTTGTCTCTGAAGATGAGGCCTGGTACTGAGGACCTACCATCTTGAACTATGCCTTGCATACCTTTGCAGCTTGACGCGTGCTATTCTCTCGGGCCATGACGATTTGCCCCATTTGGGTTCAATTCCTCAGCAGAAATGGAATCACAGTGAGCTGACTGTCTGCCCGAGGTGACTTAGGCTACGGGAGGCCTTGGGGCCGTAGGATGCGGACTAACCAGTCGATCCTGGTGTCGTGATGGATGTTCGCCAGGGTGGCATTCGAAACCTGGCCAGTCCCTCTACCCTGCTTCTACCAATTTCCAGCTTCCGTGCCCACCCACTATGCCGGCTGAAACTGACAAGGCATGACAAGCCGGGTTGGCCAAATCACAAACACGGATCGTCATCAGGTCCAGCAGGTATGCGATAACCTGCACACGAAGATGAAAAAAAAAAGAAACACGCACTGAGGCGCTATAACCCCACACCGCATCCCTCAATCCCACAACATCCCACAGGTCTTTCCAGCCTTCAGCTCGCCTATGGCTGGGGCGTAGGCGTCGCTCTCTTCCGGCGCGCTGATCCGAACACCTGGGAGCTACGCAACAAGGGCCCCAACATGCCCCAGTGCTTCCACGGAAGCGGCTCTTTGGGGTTAGGGCTTAGGGTTTAGGGTTTAGGGTTTAGGGTTGAGGGTTTTGGGTTGAGGGTTTAGGGTTTCGGGCTTAGGGTTCAGGCTGCTTCCGTGAACCCTTGGCTCGAGACAGCCCTGAGCCTGAGTGCCTGAGTGCTCGGCTGATGAGGTGCGGAGACATGAACTCCGTGCGGGCCTCGGCCCAAAGTGTCGCGCAGTCCTACCATCCTAAAGCCTCGCCTGTGTCACAACAGACATAAAAAATGTTACTATATACATACAAGATACGATACAATAGAATACAACAATACAATGTGATGAAATACAGTGCAATCCAATACAAGGCCATATAACATGATACATTAATTATATACACAATACGAGTAATAGGAAGAAGGAAACAAGTCATCACAACACTACTGATAAGGGAAGTCTTTGAGGCTCCGGGCGCACGCCAGCAGCTCATTGCAGCCGTACTCGACCACTGAGAGCTCACCGGCCTCCAGCCGGAGAACAACAGCCAGGACACAGAGGATCAGATGCACACAAGCGGGGAGGGGGGGGGGGGGGTGGAAACACCTTGAAGATCATGCAAACCGTGGGGTTGTCGAAGACAAACTTCTCGTTGCCTGCCAGGGTGCCAAATATCTCCCAATTGAATTGAGGGTGTGTGAAGATGTGAAACGGACCCGAGCTGCAGACCGCTTGAGTGCCAGGGGATCTCTGACAGTCTGCCTCAGAGCTGTAGTCCGGCAGGAGTGTTGGAAGACATGAGATATTTCCAATGAGCTGTTTTCCCAAGAGCCGGGCACGTTTGCAGATCCCCCAGCAATATGCTCTCCGGGGTGTGAGCTACCAGGAAGCGCTCCTCTGCACAATCCAGCTTACGCATTTTGCATCGCATCGGAGTTCACTGGATTCACAGGTCCAGCAAGCTCGCGCAATGGCCTGGAATATGTTGATCTTTTTGATCTCGAATCCGACGTTGCTCTTGAGCACAATGCGCGCGCCAGAGCGCAGGCTCTTCACAATAACCTGACTCAGGGAGACGTAGGTGAACTCGTGCGAGTCGCGATAACCTGAGCAAGTGACGCCAGGTATCGAGTTCCAAACAGACCACCCCACACACACGCACTGGATCAGCTCGTGTAGGCTCCAAGCGTGATCGCCGAATGCAAACGTCGAACATGTCCACGCCACCGCAGAGAGACCCAACGATGAGTCGAGACCCATCTGCCCGCCATGAAAGTGCAGTGACTGTGTAGAGGTTTGGCACCTGCGGTCCAAAAGCAGCTTGCGCAGGAGCTTGCAACCAACGGCTGGCGAAGAGCCTCTCGCTGTACAACTTCAGCCCACTCACTCCTTTTCGGGTGCCAGGCAAAGACCTGCACTTCACTTCAAAGTAACGAACCGGTTCAGAGCAGCAAAAAAAACGGGCGGACTTGTGTGGAGTCTCAGCATGGCTCAGCTGAATTCTGAGCTCTCAGCTAGGAAGCGGTTGTAGTTACCCAGGACCACAGACTCGCCGGATGGATTGAAGGCCGCGACGGTGAACTCCTGCACGGGAGTTCACAGCAGTTCACACGGTTCATATGCGGTCAGAGCTGGCAGCCGTTGAGGACGGGTCCTTGATCTTCTGGTCGCCAGTGTAGTCAAAGGTCTGCCCTTCCCGACCCTGAAGGCTATGCAGTGGCATGACAAGTACAGGCCAGATATGGCCAAGTGCCGAGTGCTCACAAGCAGAAATCTGCCTCTGAGTCCCAGAATCGCACCATGCGGTCGTTACCCGCAGCACAGATGCCGGCGTAGCCCCAGGACAGGGCGTAGGGTACGCACTGGCGGCATGCTGTGCTCGAAAGTCAATGGACAGGTCTCGTTCTCTGACAAACACAGCGGGTTGAAGCCTGAGGCACCATGGCAAACTTGGTGGTGGTCGGGCGAGGAACCTGGCATACATTCGCTCAACTCAGCACGGTGTGACAGTGCATGCAGACCATGCCAGGACCATGGGCCATGAGTCACACAGAGACTGGGTCGGGAACCGTCTCGGTTTCAAAATGGAAGCGGTAGATGGAACCATCCAGGTGCCCGCTGAGAATGGAGTTTCCATCAGGGCCTAAAACACTTTGGCCACAGTGAGCTGCGAAGTCCAACTGAATGAGGCTGAACGACTACTTTACCTAATGGCCAGATAAGGCGGAGACCAGCACACATCGAAACTACAAAGGAATCGGTCGAGTAAAGAGTGGCGGCCTGCAAAGAGGCTTGCCTAGACTCAGATCATGCTGACCCAAGCCTGAACCCTGGGCCTTGTTGGACTTGAGCTGGCCCACTTTGACCTTGCCTTCGGCAAGGCCGAACACAACCTGCGGCCCGTCCAACCACTTGACTTTTCGCTGAGCAGGGGAGGCAAGTGGAAGTTGAGAGTCGGCTCATCTGCTCTAGAATCTGAAGAGCTTGAGACATCAACCTGTCTGGAAATCAACCTTGTGACATGCACTGACACACCCTGTACCAGGAAGATCAAGTAAGATCAACAAGTCTGCCTCGTTCGGATGTCCCGCTGGCCAGGTGAGGCATGTCACGCTCGAGGTCTGCTGGAACTTGTTGCAGATGGACTTCTTGTCCTCCACTGCGCTCACGCTTTTAGGCCTGAGTGGCCTAGCATGTAAGGTGCATAAGGTGCACCCGCGGCCGAGAACGGTCGAGTCAAGGCATCGGCCAGCACACTAGTTCAGGGCGGCCGGTCATCACTTCTTTTAGCCCGAACACATCCAGCCTTCCAGTCACTTCCGAGCTTGTACACGAACCTCGGGATGCAGGAGCCGCAACCGCAACTGTAGCCTCTTGTTGTAATGATTGCAAGTTCTCAGCAGCCAAGGTCCAAGCAAGGGAGTCACTTCTTACAGGTTACTCACTCCAGAGCGCCAAGAAGAAGAAGAAGAAGAAGAAGAAGAAGAAGTGGAGGTGCGTGGCAGCGAAGGGAAGAGAAGGCATCCGAAGGCATCCGAAGGCAGCGAAACTGGGTCCCAGGCACGATGTTGTCACTCTGCGCTACGGCCAGCTTAGTGCCGTCTGGAGAGAACTCAATGGTCCGCACTGCATACGTTCGCGCAGCCTTCGCTCACGAGATCGAGAGCAGAAATGCAGAACACAGACGTATTTGTGCTGGAGCATACTTTGCGAGCCACATATTGGTCCATGACCCTTCACCGCTCACTGGTCACAAGAAGGCCTTGTCAGCCGGCTTTGTGCTGAACCTGTCTTGCTTTTCGCCATGCTCGTCGAAGAGCTGAACCTCAAGTCTTCCAAAGCTCCAGGAGAGTTCGGCTGAACAGTTACGACAAGGTGCAATTTTGTCTGCTCCGACGGTGGCTAGCCTTAGATGAACTGCTTGGAAAGGGTCGCTTTCACAATCTCCTGTAGATAGCCATGCCAGTTGTAAGTGCACATGGCGGCGCCTTGTTGTGTTGCTACTCCAGGAAATGGACGTCACCTTTCAAGTCTCGGAATCATTGTCATTGTTTTTGTTGGCGAGAAGCCGAAAACGTGAGCGGTGTTTGCAACAAAGAACCAGGTAAGACATGCCGACGAGCCTTGGACATGCCATCCGTGGGCGGGTTGAGATTTTTCAGATATCTGGCCAGGCAAGCATCCAGCAAACTCTAAAAGCCCTGAAAGACGAACCGGCAATGCCCTAAAGCCTTCAATTTCAACCTGAAAGCTCTCGAAACCATGTTCAAACTCATGTTAACCAAGGTTTAAGAGGAGAACGTGGCCTTAGCTGCATGGCTGCTAGGCCGCCCTCCTGCAGAGGAGCTCAGATCCGTGGTACGGTGACATGACCAATTTTTCAGCCACACTGGGTCATCCAAACAAGCAGAGAGTTGACACAGAATCATCATCGCAAGCAAACATACACTGAAAGCTGATGCAACAGCAAACTCGTCGTTGGCCAACAAGCATCGCACATCAGAAAGAAAGTTCGTGACACAGCCCCCCATGTCTCTTGTTCCCAACTCTGCTGCGGGCCTGGAGCACAGAGAGGAACAGCCGGCGGCTCGAGTCAGGAGCACTTGCGGCCGCGTTTGCAAAGGTGGACACGGCGCTCTGCACACTCTTCACTCCAAACTCAGCCAATCCGAACCACATCCTGCATGCTTTTGCCCATCGGAGCCCGAATACACTGGCGTGGACATGGAACACAACGGTAAGCCTCCACATGTTTCACGGGATCCATATTGTTATTTTTGCTGCTGTTAATATGAATGTTGCTCCTACCCTTATCACAACCTCGCTCCATTTCACGTCAACGGCTTGCACTTTCAAGCAACCTTTTGCTTTTTGGAGTTGTAGATCTTTGGAACCAATGGCGCAATCTGGGGCGCAATGAACTCCGAGAGCCTTGCTTCTCAAGGAATTCGGCAGGTCGAGGACTGCAAGAGGTACCCGAACCGGCACTGCCCGCGCAACATCTGCAGAGGCAGGTCACAAGGCCCCAGATGTTCTCAGGCCCCAAGCTCAAAAAGGCTCCCGTGCTGGCAGGGATGCAAACGGCATCGCTACGCATCATGCTAGACTGCCCTGGCGCGGAGTCTGACGAACAATCCCAACTGCCAGCACCACCGTGACTGCCTCACACGACGAATTCAACAGACGTTCCTGACCTTTGGTCATCCGTGTGAAACTCTCGAAGCGGGAAATGATGACTGCACCACATAACGCCTTCAAATCTTCGTAGCAGCGCGATATGACCATACGCATGTATATTTAACAATGGCACATGGCTTAAACCACACGAAACCGTAAGTCTTCTCGATGGACTTTGCATCGTAAAGATCCGGCAAGCAGCCGCTCGAGCAACCCGCCTCGTACTCAATGGTGTTTCTGAGATCTATTCTGGAACTTGCAAGCACATGGCGATTGTAAGGGGAATTCTCTTACGGCCTCGCCGTGGCTTGCATCAGCGTCCACCTGGGTGCCCAAGTCGCGCCAGATCGACAAGACATGTATTTCTGATCCGGGGCTGTAAACCAAAAACATCACAACTCAGACTCCCTCCGAGTCTGGCCCGCTGCGAATCGGTGAGGCCGACCTTCACCAGCCCAGCGGGCGCTTAGCTCAACGGGACTCTGAGCAAAGAACGTCGGTCAAGACCAACAGCTAAGCACAGCACAATGTCCTTGACGGGGCGGGAGGTCTTCTTCTGCAGGGAAACCATCCGGATCATGCCACCCAATCAGCAGAAACAAATCTTTTAACACCTCACTGGTTTTCCCCATCGCCTTCGCCGGAGTCCTCTTTGGAACCTTGGCTGTTGCAGCATGTTGCAGCACAAAATCAAAAGTCATGCGCTGTAACCCTGTTGCACTGTGGCTCCCGGCTGGGGTCTGAGGCGCAGGCTTTGGGCGCTGCGACGCGCCGCTCCGGCAGCGGGCTACGAGTAGGAACCTACAGCTACAGCAAGACAACTAAATGCGCAAGGTGCCCAAGTCCCGGGCCACACAGACTACATGTGCCAAACGAAGCAAAGACGCTGATTTGTCACGGTGTTTTCCATAAAGTTGCGGCACCGCTCGGCGCACGGAGACATGCAAACAGCCAGGGCCCACCATGGAGACTGAGACTCTCACGGTCTGGAAATCACGATCTGGCACTCCCGGATTATCAGATATGAAAACCATTTTCCTGTGGACGAAAAGGAAACATCGAGGTGAATTTGCCAGTTCGGCATCTGGAAAATTCAGCGTCGATACCCCTCGAACGCCTGAGGAGTGAGCCCAACCCTTGAGGGTCGCCTATGGAGTGGAAGGTCACAGAAGACAACACATGACGGCCCAGCCTCTGGAGCCTCGCTGGCACCAGAAGCCGTGCTCTCCTCCAGAACCATGGGGGATTGGCGGGTGCAGAATCTCGGGGGCTGCAAGGGACGGTCGCACTTGTATGAAACATGCCAAGCAAGATCTTTTGACGCAAGCGATGTGTAGGGCCTGCACCTCAGTGCCCCCAGCTGCCACATTGAGCTTTCGGCAGCAGCAAAGCTGCTGGAAGAAAATGTCGCACAGCATCATGCCCCAACAGCCCGCAAAAAACCTAGCTTGAGGAAAATGGCAACTGGGACGAACAGGTAGCCACAAGAGGAAGTCCAGAACATGTCAAGCACGTGGCACTGGGTCAGCTCACTGTGGGGAACTTCCTGGTATGGCTTTGCCTATGCCATCCATGCTCTAAGCCATCTAGGTGTCACTGCTGTCCATATCTCGAGCAGCAGGGGGATAAATGATAAAGGCACGTCTTCTTTGTCTGCGCAGCAGCACCGCTGCGACTTCGAAGCCCCACCCGAATGGATTGCTACGTGCGCTGTACTGGGCTGTCAGAGCACAACACGCTTGCAAGTCGCATGCTGAAGTCGAGTACCGTGGACTGGGAAGATATGGCGAGGGTTGAGGCATCTGCGTGTTGTTTCCCCACTCACTGCGCCACGCCAGTGAAGGCAATTCCAGCTTCCCGGAAGTTAGCTCACCGAGAAGCTGCAAAGAAAACTCACCGCACTGAGACCCAAGCAAATCCTGTCGATTGTGCATTAGCAGATATTAGCAGTAACTCATGGGGTTTAGGGCTTCGGGATGCCTAGACATGCTTTAGGGATGTCTAGGGCCATGTTTGACGTGATTGGAATCTCAGCTGGACGATGAAGCTAGGGATTGGAACTTCCGTGACAGCGCATCCTCCTGGCAGCAAGGCTTCGTGTGGCATGTCTACCCGCTTGAGGTAAGCGAACTGCTGCAAAAATCCGGTGCCTGCGCAAGGTGCTCTTTGAAGAGGTCTACGCGAGAACGGATGTCGCCGATGTAGTCAGCCTGTTCTATCAATGACTTCAGTCATATTACTTCTGCCTAGCCTGTTGTTCAGCAGGATACTGCGGCACACAGTCCTTCATTCTGAGTATTCGGTCGAGGCCGTTTACGTAAGCGTCCACGTCAGAGCCCGGGCGGTCAACATTGTTCAGGTGCACCATCTCCTCCTGTGACATTGCAAGCATAGGCAAAGCTTAGACAGCGCCTTCACCTTCCAACTCCATGGAAGCTGTTCAAACTTGGGGTGATGCAGCTTCTACTGACGATTGCAAGTCCTTGATCAGCTCGACCATCATGTCAATGTGCTGACGGTGGGCCGTGATCAACTCCTCCAGCCACAAAGAGGCGAGGCATCCAGCTTTTTTGCTCACTGTTGAGCTGGACCAAACAACGGAAGCGAACCCAAAATGCCCCCCAAAATCCCCCAAAACCGTAAAGCCACGTACACCCTTTAACATCCTGGGCTCTCCTCTTCTTCAGCGAGGATGGTGCCGATGAGCCGGTCGTGCTGCCGAGCTAACCTGGCCGTACGGTGCCAAAGAGCACTATGAGCACTCGAGCACTTTTGGAGGTTTATAAGGCAGTTTAGAGTAGCAATGTCTACACAATGTTGCTTTGTAGTCAACATACCTGAACAGGCATGATTCATGGAGGGGGTCTTGGGGCGGAGCCCTCCTAGAGCGAGGATGGCACCAAGAACGCCGTGTTAGCTGAGTTTGGGGGACTTTGGGGGCAGCTTGGAGACAGCCCCGCACCTCAAGAGTACATGCACTCCTGAAATGTGCCACGAGAACATGGACGGCTTGGAACCCTACGCATGACAAAGAGTTCTGGCTACACTTGGAAAGGATGCTTGTACTGTCCTGTGTGGTTTTGATGCGGTTTTGATTCGGTTCGCTTTAGCCCAGGGATAGCCCGAAATGGTGAGCAAGAAGCCGTCCCATGCAGTCCTTACAGCTGTCTTGCTAGCGAAAGAACGTCGACGTTCCACAACAGCATTGCAGGCAAGCTGATTAACTCATTGATGCTCCGAGGACGTTGTGCTGCACTTCTTATAAACCTGTTGGCCTCTCTACTTCATGACACAATTTGCAATGCACTTCATCGTGCGCTCATGAATCAATGTTGAATTGGCTCCCTATGATGTTCCTCCGTTCTTCACGAGCTTGTGTATTACTTGCCAATTATGTGTGCGACGTCGGCACTGTTCCTTTGTGAAGCTAGTTATCTTGTCTCACCGGGCTGCTCTCAACTGTGCCTCAAGGTTCCATTCTTGCTTGACAGGCTCCTTCCCACAACCCTTTCAGGTGAAGCATTGCGAACCTGCGGCACCGAAGCACACAAGCTTCCTAAACCCTAAACCCTAAACCCTAAGCCCTAAACCCTAATCCCTAAACCCTAACCCCCCAAAAACTGCAACTTTCGCTGGTCAGGCTCATCCAAGGCTGCTTGGGAGCAGTCAGGGATGCCAAGTGCTGCCTGGGGAGCTAAGCTCTTCAATTTCAGCAACATCATAACAAACTACTCCAACTACTCGTTTCAAGGTATCATCGTCATTACGTTCGAATGGCAATGAAAACTGAGTTCCCTTTACAACCTTTAAACCATCATGATTGGTAGTAATAACTGTTTTGGGCTGACTGTATTGTTGGGTAACTTGCTAAGGGCACGTCAGTGTTGGTGCTCTGCGTCCCGTCCGAGCTCCAGACGGGGTCCTGCACAACGGACTGCACCTGTGCTGGCGCTGGTTGGGCCGGTTGAGCCGGTTGGGCCTCAGGGATGTCAAATCCATTTGCATTGGGCTGTGATTGCCATAATTGCCATATGCCGCAGTAACTTTCGATGAGCTGCCTCTTCCTAGCCGTGTAAGTGTTACCAGCATCTGCAGTCATGTGTGAACCTAGTCTTTACTGCATCGCTGGGACCCGCTCCGGTTGCGCCTGCTGCGCTGGCTGCACAGACTGCGGCTGCTGAAACGACGGCTGAAAATGCTGGTTGTTCGGTGGTGTGTGCTGCGGCTGCGTGTGTGGAAAAGATGGCTGCGCTGGAGAGGTTGCAAGTGGTGATGGTGTAGCGTGTTGTGCTGGGGGGGGCTGCTGCTGGAGCTCTTTCTGTTGCATTTGCTGCTGCAAAGGCAATACGGCGGCTGCAGCCGCATTGGCCTGAAGACAATGGAGGAACCGCAAGAGAATACGAACCAAGAAACACCATTGCGAGAATGAAACCCATACAGACAACTTCGTCACAGACTCACCCTTGAGATCCATTCAGACAAGACACCGCTGCCACAGCGCTGGCCACCTTCACATCAATGGGCTCTCCCACGCCAGGAGCAGATCTTTTCGCTTCGCTTCGTAGTGCACTCAATTCACTCAGTGCGCTCAGTGCACCCTGCCTGTGCTGAAGTCGCCAGTCGCTGCGTGCCGTTCCAGCTAGACCCGCTGCCCTGGCTCACGGGTGAGGCCTCGAGAAAGGAAGCAACAGGAAGCCGAAAAGCAAAGAGAGACTGACCGCACATATGCTATCCCGGAAGAACGGAGAACAGAGAGAACGGAGACCCAGAAGAAGAAGAGGAGGTATCTCACCTGCGTATCATTGCTGAACGCACGCCGAGAAGGTTGCGGCCTGGCCACAACAGTCCGACACGAAATTCTGTTCAAACTTGAGCGAGAGTCCTTGTGCTACTTAAACCCCCTTTTATGCTCTTTTACCCTGCGATTATGCGGCTTAACTACCCGTGTCCGTCGCATACTAGCCTGTGCAACCTACCCAGGTGACAGAGGATAAACAACTCGGTGTAGCAAAAGGCAAGCGTGTCGAAAGCTCGGCTGCATGTCCTCGCCGTCACTGCTGTCACCTGGAAACAGAGTTGAGGCTCCGGCGAACAAGCCCAGACCACGACGTCTGAGGCCCATACTCGAGCGATCGACCAGCAGATCACCCTGTGCAATTTAAGCTCAAGATCTAGCAGTGCACGCAGTCATGTCTGCTTCTGTCGGTAAATCGGTTGACGTTATGAGTCATAAGCACCAAGGAGATGACACGCCCAATCTCTGCATCTTGCCTGCATACCGCAGAGCTGCTGCGGAGCATCAGCAGATGGACCTGCACAACTTTAAACAACGTTTTGCACCTGCCGCAAGAATTCGGAATGCTTGCATAGATGTCTCATTTCGATCTTTGCGCCACGATGTCGAGCTTTGTTCCAGTTGGCGAGTTTGAAACTTGATGACTTGTCAGCATTGGCGACAGGCTGGCGGGCGTCGCCGGTTCCCGATCTCCCCTTCCCTTTCGAGAATTCTTGTCACCCATCTTCCACACATTAACCCCCTTCATTCGGAGGGAGGCTGGCAGGAGCAGACCCTTGAACCCCACAATAAACCTATGCAAACCTGAAACCCTAGTCGAAGCCGCGATAAGCATCAGAGAGAACTGCACATGCACACTCACACTGCTTGGTCTTGAGGACTGAGGGTTCTTCGGTCATTGGTCAAGTGTATTGGGGTCGCCCGAACACGTGTCCTGCACTGCGCAGTTGCCAGAAACAGGGATTGGCAGTTGCGAAGAAGGCAGGGCGATGGGTTATACTCGCAGAGAACAAACTAAACGCTGCTTAGGTTGCGAGGTCTACTGTTTCGTTTCGGCATCCAATGTCATGACTCGGGGCTCACGATTCGTGAGAGAATTCCAACATGATGCGAGTCTGCGACTGAACTTTTCTGACATTGGAACACAAAGAACGACTCAACAAGTTGCCACTCGCTTCTGACTGTTGTCGATTGCCGCACAGGACCCTGCCAGAGATGAGAAAGCCTCAGAAAAGCCGCTGATACACAAGATCCGATTTGAACCCCCAAACCCTAAACCCTCGACCCTAAACTGAACCCAAAACCCTAAACCCTTTGTTTGAAGACTTTTGAAGGGCGGGCTCCCAAGCCCGCACGAGGCCTGGCGCTGGCGCCACCACCTTGGAAGGGGCCGGCGCACTTCGCAGCTCCTTGACCCGGTAGGCGTACCTTCCACAAAGGAATCAGAAGGAGTGTGAAAATAGGGGTACCCTTTTGGGGGCTCCTACGATAAGGATTACACGAATTTCCCTTTTCGGGGGGGATTCCCCTCCTTAGTGGGGGGCCCTTCATGTCCCTACAAGCCCCTCATAGCCACGAAGGAGCCTCAGGGTGTTCAAGGAGTGCTCCACTGCACCGCTGCACGGCGAGACATTCGCAATCATCACCTGCGAGGAGGTCCGGGCATGCTTGGTCAAGCTACAAAAATACAGTAGCAAGCTGTGCTGCACACGCCGGGCAACGGACCGTCCGACAGTTCGCACCGACGAAAGAGTCTTTCAGGACCTGGCGCAATGCCGCCCAGGGTGCAACACAATTACAAATCGCAGCAAGCCCGAACAAGTCCTGCAATACTCCCGCACAACTGGCCTGCGTCAGTTTGGACCCACGAAAAGGAGTGTGGTCCAATTGCTGGTCCAAGGCTCGGATGCACTCCTGGCCATTCAGTTTGAGGCTCGTTCAATAAACCTTCACCACATCCTCCGAAGGATGGGCTGCAGCAGCGTTTGGTAGCCACTGCCTTCAGCGCGAGCAAGGACTTGTTGATCTCTGCGCCGTCCATGCGTGTCTGCCAGGCAGAAATCCAATTTAGGCCAGGCATGCTTTCTCTAAAGGCTTCATCATGTTTCCTCACACACGCTCGGCTATAAAGCAAAGCCTGCCGGTCAGTGTCCAGCGTGTCTGCACCGCGCTCGCTGCCCGCCAGGTCGATGAATGAGATCTTGCCGTGCTCCTTTGGACATTGGGGGAACACTAGACTAGAAATGCTTGTAGCAATACTTATGATGGTAATGATGATATTAATACAGAAAAATGCACACATGGAGTATGCCGATTGTGAACACTTTTCCCTTCGGTTGCAGTGAAAAATGTTCAGGGCGCCTCCTTCGACTCCAAGTCCTTCAAGCTGATCTGAAGGATGGCATGAGATCGAGACCTCAAGTGGTAGATCATGGCATGTGGCATGACCCAACGGCTCGGTACTTTTGACAGGTCCCATGAGTCAACTTCTGCAACGCCTTGGCTAGCTCTTTTGTGCTCTTGGGATGCGGCGAGTCGACGTTGGCACCGGTCACCCCTGTGGTCCGGCTGTTGAGGCCAAACTCGATGACCTCAACTTGGCTGTGCCGCACTGTCTCCATGGCTGCACACACTGCACACCCCCTCTGATAGGAAAAAGGCCTCCATGAGGTCCTGGACGTTGCCAACTGGATGCTCCTAAACATGGGATTAACAGCAAGCCGCCACCCACAGGACCATCAGTCGGGGCCGCCAAGGGTGCAGCAACATCAAGAAACACTCTCAAGCAACTGCCGCGACACCACGGAAGCAACTGTTTGCTGGTTTAAGTCTGAAACTTCCAAATACTTTGGCAGTTTTGGCACCAAGTTGTGGAATGAAGAATCTTAACGCTGCCGCCCGCTCGATTCGTATCCAATCTGGCTGCAGTCCTGAAGTCCAGCAATGACCACATTGCCTTTAGCATTCTCGCGGGCGTGTAAGATCTGCCTTCACAGCACTCGTGGAGAAAGAACAAGTAATCTCCCTGCACGGTCGCAAAAACCTGACCTGTTGTTCAGCAGATCGAAAAGCTTGCCGCAGTAGATCTCGTAGAATGCGATAAAGACGCCAAGGTGCGAATACTCCTTCTCAGGACGGCATACCCAGGGCTGAGGCCCACAAACACAAGTGCATGCAGGCATTTCCACCAGTGCATTTGCCTTGCTGGCAACGGATCTGAAGATGTCCTCACGCGGATGCCACAGTGACAGATAATGCAGTGGTTCCAAGATGCTCCAAGCCAGCCTGCGATGCGAGCAAGAAAATGCCGGGAGTTCGCTCTTCCGGTGCAAGGTTCTCGACCTGCACATCAGGAAGGACACATGTGAAGAGCTGTAGAACCGCAACTCTACTCCCAAGGCAACTGAACTGATTTCTCTCTGTCCACTGCGCACCAAGCGTTTCGGAGGGCCCATCATCGTGAAGGTCTTCCCGCTGCCTGTCTGGCCGTACCTCTGTCAAAACTCACAGACGTGCCTTAGCCTGGCAAAGCCTTGTCTCAGAAAGGGCACGCAAAACAAGTGCACTTTGCTCGATGGAAGACCTGATGCACATCGTCAGCTAGCCGCTCTCAAAAAGGCAATCGGAACCGAGGTCTCCAAGGCTACCGCTGCATCGATAATCGGCTGCACACACGACCTGTAGAGTGACTCATTGGTCACCTGGGCAGGTCAACAAACGTGCCCAACATGCCAAGAATTCTGAAGCTCTTTGGCCCAGAAGTACCAGCCCTGGGAGGTTTGCACCACGGCAAGCAGCAAGAGTCTTGGCTTCGTGCCGTCTCATCAAAAGCCTGATCGAAGAGGAAGTTGTGCTCCTTCTCACACCAGAGCAAGCATGAGGATCCTCTGGAAGCATAAACCCGATGAAAGGCAACATCAACACAAGCCACTTCCTCCACATAGCGCGTGAGATCAACCTTGAGTTTCGGCTCCCGCACTATGACGGCACTCTCCCTGGCACAAGCAAAGACATCACGTCCACCAAGTCCACGATGGCCCGATAAGTCCGCAATCCTCAACCCTCCCGAAAGTCCTCAACCCTCAATGGCCTGCACAATACGACATCTTGCTGCGCAGTCTGCACCTGATCAAAATCCATAATCTATTGCAGTAGCATAGCATCAACTGATCAACACACCCACGGACATACGCCGCACACCAGCTCGCTCGCAAGTACCATCGCCTCCCTTTTGTTCATTGGCCGCTTCCGCACCACGACACTGAGCCGTGACGTGCGCGAGGACTTCGGCTCAGGCGCCTCGCGCAGTTGTGCTGTCAAGCAGAACAACTGGGCAGGTCTCCGGGTTTGATCTTTCTCTGAGGATCTTGCTGCCACTGCACCGGAGGTACTACTCCGAGCGACATTGACAGTGCGATTGCCAGGAGCGGCAAAAGGAAGACTGGGCAGGGAGCAAGCGCAGCAAAAACATAAACAAGCTCAGCCATTCTGGCACAACATCTTTCAACACATCTGAGCCACAACTGGTTAACAAGCTGAAAACGGATGAAAACAACAGACTGCAAAAGGCCCACCTGCCAGACCCACAGCTCGCACCACCAACAGACGGCCGGCTTGGCTGCACGGGGCTTTGGAAGCCATAAGCCGTGTTCTGCGATGGCCCCTGGACATGGGATTCCCATAGATGATCACAAGCACCCGACCAACTCACTAACAACTTCCACGTCTGGCAAACTGACAAGAAAGACCCTGCCTGCGACTTTCCACCAGAAGCCACCTAAAGCTGCTCCCTCTCTGAAGCATACACATGCTCTCGCATCAGTACACAGCAAGATTCCCCACCGTCACGGTGCCACCAGAACCAGGCGAGCGTGCCCGAGCTCTTGAAGTCTGTCGGGTGCCTGCAATGAGAATCGTTCGAAAGTTTCGGGCATCCGTGGTGGAAGGCCTTGCCTGTGATGCCCACAACCTGCCGCATCATCAACGAAACCTTGTTTGTAACCAAGAAGCTGTCGCAATATGCACGAGGCAGCACAACGAATGGACAAAATTTGGCTCCCCAACCGCCAAACCAATGCCATGTTGGCTTCCTTGGCAGTATAATTTTGCGCGGTTGCCGACGATGTGTGATGCTGCAACAACTCACGTCATGCAGGTGCATTGTGACCAAAGGTTCACTTCATGATAAGCAGGATACCATGGTTTGCTGCGGGGTCATCGGATTTGGCTGCTACACGGCAAAGTCTACAAAAACATGTCACGACGTTTCACCGATCATGTGGCTTTACCGTAATACTACACCAAATGAACTGTTACGCGAGGTTGTTGAATGTATTGTTCGTGTAACCTGATGCAGTCTATGATGGGAGCACGAGCCATTCAGGGCAATAACGTTTCCGATGTGTGAATGTGGCTGCTGCGACATGAGAAACAGAATCCGCAAACTTGCATACACGGTACCTTCACCGCAAGCAACGCTTGCGTAGAGCGGTTGTCCTCATGCGATCTCCGATCTTTGTTCAAAACCAAAAGCGACGCAACCCACAACCATGGACCGACTTGTCGCGTTGGCAGCTTGAAGGCTTTTTGGACAACATGCACATGTGCATGCTCAAACACCTGAGCGCATTCGGACAGCACCTTCATGTGAACAAAATGGGCTGCACATTCCTGTAATCCAAAAACAAAGTGCGAATGATACAACGTGGAATGATTTCTTGAACTGCTCGAGCAAGCGGGTCCGCGAAACATGTTCTGAGTTCAAGCGCCAATCAAGCTACATCCAACATCCCCCCTTCTCCACATCCTCACAGCCTGCTTCAAGTCTCACCGCCAGGGACGGAAAACTGCGTTCACACTATAACTTGCATTCGCATGGCGAATTCACTCCTTACAATGTAATAATAACGCTCTCTTCGTACCTTTATGATCTGGAAACAGAACATGAACCGATACTATCGTGTATTGTCTGCACAAGAAATGATCTAGAGACCAGAATACTGTACGCTTTGGGCTTTTACTGGCGGTGAGAGCCCCCAAAATGCTGTCACAAAACCCCCATAATAATATTACAATTCATGCCTTGTTCGTTCACTCACTGCCTTACAATTCCGACACTTTATTAGTGTAAAAGAGTGAATGAGCGAAGTGATGTGAACGCAACACGCATGAAAAACGTCGTGTATGCGTTCACGAAGATTGATGAGGGAGCGCAATCAGAATAAGATGAATGTACGGGCCTCAACATTGTTCTAATGGCCCGTTAATCGTTTTCAGTCTGCAAGTCGGTCGAATTTTTTACTTCCGCGGTTGCAATGATGTCTCTAGCGGCGCGACAACTTGAGTTCAAAGTTGCTGGCTAGAATGTTCGCGAATTCAAGAGCGTACAGATGCAAAGGCAATTGCAGGATATGAACACGCGTTTTTGATTGCTTTTTACCGCACGGTCGAGCTCTCAGAAGACCGCCGCCAGGTGCATCAACATCTGCAGCGTCGCAAAGGGCCTCGCGCAATCCGCACCTTCCCCTTCAAAGAGCATATCTTTCTGTCTCTCCGAGATGGATCCGAGTGGACAGGCGAAACTCGAACCACGTGGCCAGTCGTCTGAAGGTGTTTTGCAAAAACTTGCGGTTGCATGCAGTTTTGAAAAAGACCCCAGGTGCAAAGCACAATTCAGCTTCGAAAAAACCAATTCCATCTAGCACACTGTGCAATTTTCGATAGCTCCGCGCCACGTCACTGCTGTAAACTCTCTGCTCCTTGAAACTCGATTGATGAACACAAAAAACAAAAAAAGAAGTTGGTTCGAAGAATAAAACCCAAAAAATAAACAAGATTGGGGGGGTGGAATTTAGAACACATTCCCTTCTTTCTTTTCGTAAAGGGAAATGAATGTTTAGAGTCACTTCTCTGGTTTCGAAGAATGGATCCAAAAACAAACACAAACCGCTGTAAATGTTTAGAGTCTCACTCTGGTTTCGAATGATGAAATCCAAAAATTTAACCAGTTTCCCTCTCTCGAAAATTAAAGTTGATCGTCGGGTTTTGGACTTGTGCAGTGCAGTAGGACAGCTGCAAAATGCAGATGTAATCTTGCGGAAATAATGCTCAAATAAATCATCAAAGACGTAGAAGTGCACGATGAGTGTCTCTTCAAGATTGGAACTGTTTCGTCCAGGGCCCATTTGACAAAAAGGCACAGAACCTGGGTTCAACCTGGTAGTTTTTTCCCAGTTGATGAACGCGAATCTCACCTACAGCTGTCCATCTCCAAGCAGTTTCAAACATGTGTAATGCACCTTCAACCGTTGCTCCATCTTTGGTGTGTGCAGAGGCTGGATCCCGTTCCCCTTCGGCGAAGGGGTAGGGGGGGGGGGGGGGGGCGTGAAGGTCTGAAGGCTTCTTTTTTTTTTTGAACCGTCGCCTCTTTACTACATCAGCAGCGCAGTAGGCCGTCCTTGTGGGTCTCAACACTAGAGGTGAGACAGTCGCAGGCGCGAAAACCGAAACAAGCACACACCAAAAACACCACCAAACACAACCACAAAAACCCGCAGCAACCCGCCAAAACCAAAAGCGCCAAACGTCAAACTGTACAAGCCAGCGAGTGAAAAAGAAGTCATGACTACAAAGAAGCAACCGCTAGCGCAGAGGCCCTTATTGCAAGACAACTTAACGCACGGCCAGCATGGTGAGACCAATGCAAACAAGAACCTACCTGCACCAATCACTCAGCAGCCCGTCACCCAAAGCAATGCTGCGCCACGTCTGGTACAGACATTAAGCGAAAGTATGGGTAGGCCGTAAGGCAAGGAACCTCCGTCACCTAAACTGCTCAACGCGTCCGTAGAGACAGTCCCCACACAAGCGCCAGGGCCGTAGCAATAGCACTCAGGACTCCATTGTGGTTGGCAAGAAAGTTGCAAGCACACTAAGCACAATGCACACAGAGTGCCAGAAAAGGCGCCCCCTTCCCCCCCGACGAGAGGGGGCAGACAAGGGGCTGGTGTGGCTACACTATGCTGCAGTCTGCGCTGTGTGAGTCCGGGCGTCCTCACGTAGCTATGGCCATAGGGCAGGCCTGGAGCGCTGCTTGCAAGAGGCCATATTTTTACAGCCCCGCGATTTTTGAGACGGCGCAAGAGCCCCAAAGGCTGCTGGCTGGCACTTGGGCAGTGTGCTTCCCAGGTACCGGGAGCCTATCGGCTTGGCGTGCTTAGCCTGGTGCAGTTTAAGGCCCACAAGGCTGCTTAACGGTCTGCAGCCAACCGCGCGTCAAGTGTGAGAGTCAAGGGGCCTTAGAACTCGGAGCCCCGCGCAGCGGCCGATTTTTTGAGAGCACTTCAAGCAGGTTTGCCCCGTGACTACACCTGATGCGGGACCCACAGCAAAGTGCTAGGCCTAGTCACTTCTGGACCTGCTGGGATAGGTCGAAGCAGCAGTTCCTCACATCCCTTCTGGGCCTTCTGGCGAAGGTTCCCGCAGCCGTTTGCAGGGCTTAATCACTTCTGGGCCTTCTGGAGAAGTTTTAGGCAGCAGTTTGAGAGGCCTACTCACTGCTGGGCCTTCCGGAGAAGTTTTAGGCAGCAGTTTGAGAGGCCTAATCACTCTGAGCCCTCCAGGGAAGGTTGAGGCAACAGTTTGAGAAGCCTACTCACTTCTGGGCCTTCAGGCAACTGTTGGGACAGCAGTTTGAGAGGCCTAATCATTTCTGGGCGTTCTGAAAACCTTGAGGCATCAGTTTGAGAGGTCTACCCACTGCTTCTGCTTGCCACAGCGCAGGAGGGCGGGCGCCCTCCTGGCCGGGCAGTGCGATTTATCTGCGTGCTGCTCCCAGGTCGCGTAGGCCCATAGGCTTCAGGTTCGCTCTTGTACTTCATGCCGGGTCCTGAAACCCGATAGGCTTCAGGTTCGCTATTTCCCTCCCTGCTGCTCCCAAGTCCCGAGGGACCACAAGCTTCGGGTGCACGACTTAACCTCCTCTTAACCTCCTCTGGGCCTTCTGGTAGGGCTGAAGCAGCAGATTCTGTCATCCCTCCTGGGCCTTCTGGCGAAGGTTCCGGCAACCGTGCGAGTCCTAATCACATCTGGGCCTTCTGAAGAAGTTTTAGGCAGCAGTTTAGGGTCTACTCGGACGCCTGGCACAAGACCCACAGTGGTCTGTGCTGCAATAGGGACCTGACCTGATGAGAACCTGCGGCATCTGCTGAACCTGGGACGCCTGGCACAAGACCCACGACGGTCTGTGCTGCAATAGGGACTGAGGACCTGCGGCATCTGCTGAACCTGGGACGCCTGACAAATAAGCCCACGGTGGTATGTGCCGCAACAAGGACCTGAGGACCTGTGGCAACTGTTACATTTGCGGGCGCCTGCGGGCACGCCTGACCTGGAGGGGCCTGTGCACCTTGATTGAGTGTGTGGGCACCCGCGAGCACGCCTGAGCCGGAAGGGCCTGTGCATCGTGAGCCTGTGCCTTGCTGGCACCTGTGAGCACGCCTGTTCGCTTCAAGTTCAAGCCACACTATCAAAGCTAACAAAGGCCTACAAAATCCTAAGCCTAAACAAGCACTGCCCACGAGCTCTCCACCTTTTTTGACTTTGCCGGAAATGCCGCTCAGAGTTCAACGCAGAACGCAAAGCAGATGATGCGTAGCCAAAAACGAGCGTAAAGACCTACAAAGGAGAATGCCACTTCGCATCTTGTGAAACTGGGTGAAACGATGTGAGTGTGGCTCTGCACTCCAAAAAGGGAGTGGTGGGTGGGTCAAAAGCAAAGCTAGCCAGTATTGTACTGGATCGGTGTGTGGCTTGAACCCAAAATGACAAAGAACGGTGATCTTTCACAACCAGCAAACAGCTATGAGTAAACACATGACCCGTTCGCTTCAAGTTCAAGCCACACTATCAAAGCTAACAAAGGCCTACAAAATCCTAAGCCTAAACAAGCACTGCCCACGAGCTCTCCACCTTTTTTGACTTTGCCGGAAATGCCGCTCAGAGTTCAACGCAGAACGCAAAGCAGATGATGCGTAGCCAAAAACGAGCGTAAAGACCAACTTCAAACTGGCAAAGTCAAAGCTCGCCGGGCCTACCTACCCAACTTCTACGTGAGCGCAGACTATGCCAGGCCTCACAGCAAGGCTCAGGAAAGTGACTAAGGCGGCTGCCATTTGAGTTTGGCATCTGGAGGCCAAAGACGCACATCTGAACGAAAGTGCCAGATGCGTGCCAGGCTGCAATCCACACGGAAGTCCGAAAGAAACTTTGCAGGCAAGGGCTGGGACTCGTCACTCCAGCGGGAGAGCAAATCCGCATCGTCGTTCTTTTCGCCAGGGACGTGGAAGACGTCAAGCTCAATGCCAGTAAGACACGCCAACATGGAGAGGCGTTTCAGAAACACTGACAAAGGGAAAGCGGAGCTGTAGAGCTTGTTGATGCCTGCTTCTGCGCCTGTGTTGTCGGACAGAGTGCGGAGACGGACTGTCCAGCGTGCCAAAGGCACCACGGAATGGAGACAAAGAATTAGGCCGAGCTGTGCCAATGTCTCATAGCAAGTGATGTCCTGGTGAGCTGGCACCTGCAAGGGCACACCCAGTGAAGAAAGGTCTGAGACACGCCACGACTGGCTGAACCACGAAATCTGGCGTGAAGGCCATTCGATAAAACCCCCCTGTTCCGACAAGGTCCCCATCTGCGCGGGCGTCGGCAGCAGCGCAGACGATGGGAACGTCCGCAGGTTTCTGCAAAGGAAAGAAAAGGGGTGGAACCTCACACCACTTAAGCCAGAACTGAAGGCTTTCGCGGCTGGAAACTGAAAGCTTGCGGCGAGTGGTGGAGGGGTCTGTCACTCTCATCCAAATGCGCTTGGATGTGGGAATTTTGGCAAGGTCTTTCTTAGACTGCAGTGCCAAGTGCCTGGCCTCAATGAGCTTCGCGCCTGTCGGAATGCTCGTTCCCGGCGGCGTGGAAGTGAAGACAAGACCCTCGTTAACACAAATGGCCAAGCCGGGCCAATCGCCAGGGTCAATGCTGTAGTTGGTGGCCAATGGGCGGTTGGCATCAGCGTAGAGGGTTTGCAGCCAGGGCTTGAAATGCTTATACAGCTTGCAAAACCACTGCAACAACCCGGTGACCTTGTCCAGGGTCCGTTTTGCAACATGGCGACCTTGCAAAGCTTCCTGCAGCAAGCGCTTTAGCTTCTGGACTTTTTCAATCGGAATGGAGAAAGTGCCAGAGCCGAAGGAAAAGTGCCAGCCTATCCAATGGATACAGCTGCCAAGCTGTAACTTGGCATTGGACAAGGGTATGTTGAACAAAGCACAAAAGGCCAAAGTCATGCACGCTGTAAGGCCGATGATCTCCTGGTCCTGAAACAGGATAAAATCGTCCACATAGCCCAGTAGGGCGTGTCGGAGCCAGGTCCAAAGGTGAAGGGTGCGAAGGAAAAAGCTTCCAAGACGCTGAAACCAGAGGGCCGAGAAGTTCGCTCCGGAAGGGCAAACGCGGTAAAAGAGCCAACGACGGCCAGGACCTCGAATTTTTGGGAGGGAGACCCCGAGCAGCCCCTGGTCTGAGTCGCGAACTCGAACCGTTTTGTGAGCGGACTTGATGTCAAAGGCAAACCCCGCGCAGAGACCAGAGTGGCAACGCAAAGGGTTCTTTAAAAGAATCCCTAACATCGTCAATGCCCGGGAGTGTGTACGTTTCGGGGATTGAGCAGGACGGATTAGTGCCACAGACAGTAGAATCCACCACAAGACGGGGCTTTTTGCCTTCAGCTTTAACTATAGACATCTTTCCAATGGCCAGCTTGTCGCCAAAACGCTCTTGAGCTGCTTCCAAAGAATCCAGCTCCAAGAACCAGCCATTGGAGATCTCCTCTTCCACTAAGGCATGCAAGGTCGGAAGATCCGCTTCAGCGCTGGACCAATTACCATGACAAATGCCAAGTGATTGCTCGAAAGGATGGCCCCCACCTTGTGGCAAGAAGACATTGGACAAGGGAATGTCTCCGTCAAAGCCAGTAGGCACACCTTGTTCCAGGCAAGTGAAAAGGGATGAGTCTCGATCTTGGCAAATGCGTGAGACAGCTGCCAGCGCCTGGAGGCAGTATGGTTGCCCTGCAGAGATTTCCCAGGATACGGAAATGGCCGGGAAATGCGCGGAGAGCCAATCCTGGAAGATGCCACGCAAATCGTCTATCTCTGAGCTGGAGAACAGGGGTTCCGCGGAGCCTCCCAAAACCAAAGTGCGCAAACGTTGTGGGAAGCGACCATGAAGAAGAAAGGCCATCAACTTAGGCCTAAGGTGCGCAAACACATCGGTGGCTCCCGAGGGTGGAGCACTCCAGTCTGGCGTGGAAAAGATGCCGGCCCCATCTTGTGAGGCCACGGGAGCCTCATGTAGGGCCTTAGGCTTGGAAAGCAAAGGGACCGAGGCGAAAGAAAGGGCCACCCCTCCCCCTTGTTTCACGTCGAATAGGGGCAGAGCTTGCTCCGCACACATGTCCGCTAAAGGGCGGGGGTACTCTGCCGAAGCCCGGCTGCAAAAGTTGCCAAACTCATCACGCAAACCCTGCAGAGCCAAGTGGGTCCCCTCGGTGTGCGGACATGTAGAAGCAAAAGCCTGAAAGGCCCTAAAAGACGTGGCAAAAAGCCAGGCTTTGTGCATGTCAAGATCGACGGAGCAAGCGGCCACATGGACCAGATCCGCACTGATGGCTGCCAAGAAGTTGGTCGCAATCGGCTCCATCCAGGCCATGCTGTTGGGGGGCTGTTCAAGAGACACTTGCGCACCGCAAGAGAAGCTGACATGCAGCAGCTGAACGCAGCGTACAAAGACAAGGTGGCTCTCCTGGACCCTGAGGGCCTGCGATGCCGACAAATCGGGAAGGCCGTTCAGGAATGCCGGAGTCCGAAGTGCTTTAGGGCCTCTCGGAAGGAGTTTCAGGCGGGAGTACTCCTTGCAGGGGGGGGCAGCGTGCGCAAGAGCCACCTGCCGGGACGTGCAAATGCGCAGCAAGTGCTCAAAGAAGTCGTCCTGGAGAAGATCCATGTTTGTGTCAATGAGAATGTCAATGGACAAGCACGGTACGCCCTGCTCCAAGAAAGCTAAGCTGAGTGGGGAACCCGCTCCCGCGCAAATGTCCAGGAAGAAAGGTTGCTTGAAATCCCGGACAGACTGTAGGGCGGAGGCGACCCGCGAGGAGATAGGAGGAAAAGGTCCCGGCATGGTTTCTGTGGTGACTGGTGCCAAAGACAGCGTGGGATTGGGGCTGTCTGGGGCTGAAGTAGCCACATCGGGATCTGTGTGGCTTCTTGGGGATGGCGAGTCGGGAACAGACAGAGCCAACTCCCCCGCGTGAGGAAAAATGGAAAGCATAGGCTCGAGTGCCTGCTTTTCCGGAGCAGCACGACGGAGCTGGAGAGAGCTGGGGGGACAAAGGCAAAATGGCAGGCACGGACAAAGGCAGACCGGACCCAGCTGCCTGCTCGAAAGACGGGTCCGGTCCCCCTCAATGCGGGGTGTCAGTGTGTTGCCAAGCCGGATGGTTGCCAAGGCAAATCTTGCCACTGGGGAGCTTCACGGGACAAAGGTGTTCAAAGCGGCATGATGGATTTTTGCAGCCTGTGCGCTGACTCCAGCGCATGCAAAGGGTCTTAACTTCTCCGTTAATTTTTGCGGAGGATGCCCATTCCTGGCGATTTGTGGGGGTCCCTGCGGAGTTGCCTTGGTTGCCCAGACCGGATCCCCCACGACCGGTGCCAAGGCCACTCCCACGACCTCGCCCGTCCCCCTTGCCTTTGCCGCGCCCCCGTCCGTTGCCAAAGCCAGCACCGGGGCTATTGCCTTTTCCTCCACCTGCTCCTTTGCCCTCTGGGCGGCGCATGGCCTTGGGCAGGAAAACGCGCGGTGCCAAAAGAGAAGCCAGCTCGCTGCGGACGGCTGTGTTCTCATGGATGCAGTCGTCCAGAGACCAACCTTGCAAACGGAGCTCAGACACGGCCTCCCAGAAGCGACGGTCTGCTTGCTCACACTCCAATGCATTGGGTGGGCGGAGGCCACTGCTAGAGTCAAAGCGGGCCGAAGCAAAGCGGAGGAAAGTAGACTCATACTTCTTAAGCGTCACCAAATGCACGTCAGTGACCATGGCCATCGCCACGCTATGCAAGTGCAAAATCTTGCTCAAAGCAAACATGCCCAGTGTGTCCGGGAGGTTCCGAGAAGGGATATCGTCCAAGATGAGGTCTGCCAACTCGGTCCTGGCTAGCTTGCGAGGGCGCTGCAACTGCTGCTCTTGAAGCTCAAGCACTGACATGCGCCAACGCCAAGGGATGAAGCGCCACTCTTGTGACGAGGCTTGTTTGAAAGCCAAAGCAAGGAGACGGGCCGAAGGCATGGTGGAGTCGTCTAACACCTCGCTAGGGTATTTCCGCAGAAAAGCGGCTCGAAGCTCGGCCGTTTTGTCTGATGAGAGCTTAGCTGGGAAAGGCTCATTCCATGATGCGGCGGCAGACACGGTGCGGCTGGGGTCTGAAGCCGAGCTGAGGGACTGGTCCTGCGGCAAGGGCAAAGCAGGGGATTGCGGCGGAAAGGGCACAGCTGCTGTTTGTCCCTCAGAGCAAGCCAAGGCATGAGACCTGTGCCAAAGACACCGCAGGTCTGCATGCGTCCCGGAGCCAAAGTCCAGGAGACCGTGTGACTCCAACCATTGATCCAACTGATCAAAGGAGGTAGCCAAGAAACCAAAATTGCGGATGGTGCGGTTCAGCTCCGAATGGGAAGCAACTTCTTCTGGGAAATCCAGGCTCAAAGATTCCCAAAGAACTGAGAGCTTGTCTGAGGGCGTCGGCTGCGCGAGAAGGCCTCGCCCAGAAGAAAGCCGATAAAAGCGCTTGTGCAAAGCCGTAAAGCTGGTCCACAAAAAGGACGAAACCCTCTGAGAGGTGTGCCTGGAAGAATGTGTGGGGCTCCACAGCCAGACCTGGGCGCGAGAACATGTAACAGAGGGGAATACAAAAGCAACCAGAATGAAAGAAGCTCTGAGGCCGCAGAAAAGCTCTGATTTCCATCGGCGTGCTCCGATGCCAAGCGCCCTCGAGCAGCCTAAAGCTGCTGAGGGAAAATGCGGCGAAACAAAGCCAGCAATGCACTATGCACTGTGCCCGCTAAAAGGGCAAAGCCAAGGAAGAGGAGGGCAAAACGAAGGCCAATTACTGAAGTAAAAGCTTTCTCAGGGTTGCCCTTGTGCCCTTCGAAAAGCTTTGTAACAAATGCCACAGCGGTGCCGATGAGGTAAGTCTTCGCGTGTCAGCACGACTCCGCAATGGCCAGCCCCGCAGTCCTGACAGGTGGAACGGCAGTAAATCTGCCGGACGATAATCGTCTCATTGTGCTGGCTGAGCAGGAACGCGTCCGGCCCGATTCGGGTAGCCAAAGGCGGCGCGGTGTCCAAAGGAGGCGCCGGAGGAGGCTGAGGTCTGTCAGCTTGCGACACCCAAAGCCAAAGCCATTGACCGATATTCCAGCCATGGTTGGCCTCCTTAGCGCGCTGAAGCAAAGTCTCAAAGATGGGATCCTGCTCCATCCAATAACGAAGCCAATCGTCTTCCTCCCAGCCGCTGGCACCCTTGAAAGAAGCTGCCTCCTCCAACCACGTATGTGCACGAAGAAGGTCTGCAGGTGCCAATCCCAGGGAGCGGTGGCCATTAGGAAAGTGCGGCCACTTGCTATCCAAAGTAGTCTGCGTTGGCGCGGCCTGGGAAGAAGCTGAAGCTGGGTTCAGGGTAGCCTTTTCCATCTCTTCAATCCAATGAAAAGCCCAATCGCCAGAGCTAAAGCCAAAGACAGCGTCCATCTTTTCCGCAGCTTCTGTGACAGGCGCAAAGGCTGGCGTAGAGGAAAACCAATGCCACAGCCATTGCGTTGGCGAAAAACCACTGGACGCTGGCATGTGGCGCGCGTCTTCCAGCCATGCCACTGCCTTGTTGACCTCAGCCTGTGCCAGGCCCAGGAAAATGTCATTATCTGCCATTGCTAGCCAGCAAAAAGCAAGGGCGGGCAGAGCCACCAGAGCAAAAGACAAGTTCCGTGTTAAAGATAGGAATGGCTAAAGCGAAGCCAAAAGCTCTGAGGCAAAGCGGCGAAATGATCATGCACAAGCTCTGAGTGCAAAAGCGAAGCACTGAACAGCTGTGTAGTTATTACACAAGACGCACACCTGCAGTTCAGAATCTCTGAGTGCTAGGCCAAGGGATGAAGCTCTGCAATCCCGATATACCCCCCCAGGAGGTAAGAGCCAAAAGCTGGGCCGATGTGAGGCGAGCAAGCACTGAAATTCTGATCCCAGCACGGACTAAAATGCAAAGCAGACAAAACTCGGAAGCAACGACATGTGGAATGAGCAGAAAAACGACATCCTTTTACTGGTATTCGCTGCACAAAGATAATCTGAGGTCAAAGGCAGAGGCCACTGCCAAAACAGGAGGGTCGTTTGCAAAGCGCACGGCGTGCCCCTGAAGCGTCCTGTGCCTCAAGCTCAAAAAGTATTGTCCATTCATTGCGAACGACCGCCCCACAAGCCGTCTTAAGTGCCTTTCCTTGCCAGCATGCTTGCGACACAGCGACGTCGCAGTCGACCACCCTGTGTATGGTCTTGGCTGAAGCCAAGAAAATGCCATGATGCAAATCTGGCGACTTCCCCAAAGGCGCAAATGCGGCCTGAGGCACTGTTTCACTGGACGCTGAAATTGAATGGCTGGGTATCAAAGGAAGGGCTGCTGCTGTCAGGGGGTCCGAACTAGGCTCAGAAGAACTTCCCCGAAAGCGGAGGGGGACATCAAAACCAGAAGTCGCAAGACCTTCCCTAACCAAAAGCTGCGGCTCTGCCATCGGTGACTGGGCTCCGCGGTGTTGAGAAATGCTGGGACGGAAAGCGCCAGTGCGAATCTTGCCAAGGATTGAAGCCTGAAGAGCTAGGGCCGCGTGCGTGTCATCTCGACCATAGAGAGTGACAAATGTGGCGCGGTGATGTCCCTGCTCACGGCGTGCCATGTCACCAAAGCCAAGCTGGGAGCACCAGGACAAGACTGTCGCCTTGCAAGAATGCAAAGTGAAATTGCGGGACGCATCATAACCTAAGCGCCACGCCGAGACGTTTTTGTCCGATAGGCAAGGCCGCGAATGACTAGGGCTTGAGGGTCAAACAGCAGAGCTGACCAGGATACGTGGGAAGCGTCCCCAAAGCGCAGCGACGACCATATACATGCCAATGCGGAGCCGGCAAAAAGGGCAAACTCAGGGGCAGAAAGAGGATCAAGCACAACTGATTCAAGAAACGCGACGAAGTCCAACGGAAGCGGCATGGCTTCAGAACGATCTGAAGATGGCTGAGCGGACAAAGCTCTGAACAGGCCGGAGTAGAGGTCTGGGAAAGTTAGGGCAACGGTCTTTACCAACCAACGCAGAGCCTTTAGGGTGTTGAGTGGAAAAACCAATGCAATCTGCTCCCGGTCCAGTGAGAAGTCGTCGTCCTGGGAACGACTGCAGTGTAAAGCATAGACTGCCTCAACTGCGGCAAGTTGGGAAAGATTATCCAAGGAGTGTCCGAGGTCGATAAGAAATTCGAAATATGCCAGGCAGGCTTTGACATAGCGTAAAGCAGTTGTGTCCGCGTTGAGTTGCAAAAGCTTCAATGTCAAAGCAGGGCCACTAGGTGACCCTTGAAGCTGCTGCAGCACTGAACTGTAGGGGCCAATGATGTCTACCAAAGAGCGCCAGACCAGCAAAACGGCATCCCAGGCCTCAGAATGCAAGGCGCTCTGAAGAACAACCCCTTTCAAATTGGAGGCATTCGCAGTGGCCTCAGGGCAGAGTGCGGTGGTGTGATCACCGGACTGCAAAGCAAAGGATGCCTTTGGGGAAAGGCGAACAAACGAGGAGATATGGGGAGGTTCAGCTTCCGAGGCGGAGGCTACCCCTTTCTGAAGTGGAGCAGGCACCTGCGTGGTATGAGCTTCTGAAGGGTAAATTGAGTATACCCGGGCAGGCTGATAGTTTGGAGGAGGTAGAGGAGCTTCTAACGGCAAGCAAGCCCGATGCACATTAAGCCTAGTAGGGGCCGGCAAAGGCGTTGCCTTAGGAACCCAAGCAACCGAGGGCTTAGTCCTAGGACAGAGAGTCCGAGCAGGTGCCGGCAAAGGATGTGATTTTGATGTCGGGCGTTCCAGGGTCGTCCCAGGATGCAAAGAGGCGACAACCGACCAAGAACCTGAAGCATCTGAAGATTTGGGAGTGGCAGACATGATAAGGGATTGCGAACACACTGGCAGCGGAGGTGACAGGAGGAGCTCGCTTGGCACATTCTCCCCCAAAGTTTCATCAAAGCTTGAAACAGTATCGATCGCATCGATAGCTGCGGCACGCCCTGGACCCAGAGGATTATTCCTATAACGCTTGACCCTGACTGGCGAAAAAGCCGCAGTGTCGTGCTCTGCGTGAAGCCCTGAGGAAAGTTCAACGGAGTCAACTGCCATGATTGCAGCATGCGGGGTCAGGTCAGTGAACATCTCAAAGACCAAAGAAATTAAGGCGAACTTCGGGGAGTGGTGCGAAGTGCCCAAAGATGATCTGCACGGTCAACTGGAACGGAATGCAGGCCGTAAAGTGCTCGGGAACCCAGGTGGATGTCAAAGCAAGACTGCTGGGTCTGGACCCGTGAAGCCTTATCCGAAAACTCCCAAAACAAAGTCCAAAGCAACTTGCGCAAGGCCAAGTCCTCGAGATCACTGGTGTGATGCCCGAGAGGAAGCCAGCCGAAGCCGGACGACATCCGCGTCCCCCACGGGAACGCTTGCACGCCGCCTAATGCGGAAAGAAATACTTAGAAGTGTAATGCAAAGATGAGCTGCATCGAGTGTCTTGCTCAGATGTCTTGTAGAAGCTGTTGCACTAATGTCTTGTTCAAAAGCAAAGCTAGCCAGTATTGTTCAAAAGCAAAGCTAGCCAGTATTGTACTGGATCGGTGTGTGGCTTGAACCCAAAATGACAAAGAACGGTGATCTTTCACAACCAGCAAACAGCTATGAGTAAACACATGACCCGACCCGGAAGGGCCTGTGCACCTTGAGCCTGTACATGTGCGGGCACCTGCGAGCACGCCTGACCCGGTAGGGCCTGTGCACCTTGAGCCTGTGCCTTTGCTGGCACCTGTAAGGGCCTGTGCACCTTGAGCCTGTGCATATGCGGGCACCTGCAAGCACGCCTAACCCGTAAGGCCTGTGCACCTGGAGCCTGTGCATTTGTAGGCACTTGCAAACACGCCTGACCCGGAGGGGCCTGTGCACCTTGGCACCTGCAAGCACGCCTGACCCGGAGGGGCCTGTGCACCTTGAGCCTGTGCCTTAGCTGGCACCTGCAAGCACACCTGATCCAGCAGGGCCTGTGCACCTAGAGCCTGTGCATGCGCGCGCACCGACAGCCACGCCTGACCCGGACGGGCCTTGGCACCTCGCGCATGTGCGGGCACCTGGTGGCGAGGCACGTACTAGCTCGGGGGCGTGGCACTTGTACTAAGCGCACTCCACTGTTGCAAAAGAGTTGATACGCTGCACGGGCGGGAGAGGCAGGCTTACTGCTGGGTGTAGGGCAATTCTTCGCATCAACAGGCAAAAAGCTGGTGTAAGCCACACAGTGAGCCGCACAGCCCTCACGCATACAGCTGGTATAGCCACACAGCAAGCAGCACAGCAACCGCACGCGAACTGGATGCATCGAAAGCACAAACCTTTGCTGCGTTCTCGCTCTTACTAGCAGACAAAGGCCCGCGCAATGCACAAAGCACTTCCTTGGCGTTCTTGCTCTTTCAAGGGAAGCGCACAAACAAACAAACACCCACATTCCCCTTTCACAATGGGAAAATCAACACAAGCAACATTTTGCGCCCTCAGCCAGGGGCCTGACAAGTGCAGTTTGGGCCAGTCGAGAATGATGCACGACGTTCAAAAAGGTAAAATTGATCTTAGACTGCGGCAAAAACATGCTCCTATCTTCACATGCACCGCAAAGTTAAAAGGTTTGGTGAAAGCGAATTCGCACTTGCGACATAGTGCAGATACTTACGTCGAAGCTATTCGTACTGCACAGACGCGCAGGGAACGGGCGTTCCCAACTTTAAACGATTAACAAAGAGAAAGAGCGGGCGTTCTCAATCTCCATAAGAAGCTTGTTTCGAAGTGACAGGACAGCTGAGGGCTCAGTTGACGCTTTGGAAGGTTGGAAGCGGGCCCAACAGTCGTGCACAAGACAAAGACTAGAGGCAAACCAAGCTTGCGGTGTTGAAACAGCTGAAATCCAAGCCAAGCTCTGGATTCTTCTTGCAAGCGGGCGCTCACACGAACTGCACAATGCATTGGAGTGATGATAATGCCAGCTGGTGGTGCAAGTAAAACTCTGCTAGCGTGCTCAATGCGATTCAAACAGTCGTCGGTAGTCTGCTCAATGCTCCGGTAGACAGAACACCAATGAACATCAAGGCTCCAATGAACATCTTGCTTAGTAACCCACCTTGCAATGCCACCTTGTCCTCGCCTTGAAGGAACTTGCAAGCTCTTTGTCTCTCCAATCAGTCTCAATTGCACCTAAGGCTCTGGCAGTCTGTCTGAGGTTGGAGCAATGTCTGAGAAAACATCCCGTTTTCATTGGTCAGTGTTTCTTGTTTTCTATTGCAAGATTTCTGGACAGTCATGTCTTGCGACTTCATGGCATTGATCACCTTCCAGATTGTTCGTCAAGGTACATTGGTGTATCTTGCTCCTACTGTGACTTCTTTCTTATCGTCTGATGTTCCAAAAAGCGAATTGGAGATTAACTCTCCATGGCAGAGATTGACCCACAGCATTGGATGTGGAACTTTGCAGACATTGCTGATCTTACATACGATCATGTGTCTAAGATCTTCTTGCTCATTGCTGCTGCGCAGAAAGGCAGGCAGAAGCAAACTTCAAGCACATGGACTGTTGGAAAGTGGATGACAAG